TATATATATATATATATATATATATTATAAAACGTGAGAAAGGAAAAAAAGAAAGAGGGGGAAAGATCTTTGAACTGGAAAATCAACGAGCAAGATAATATTTTAAGATAGTCATGCTCGACGACTCATTACATATAAATGACGATAATTATAAATTTAGAATCTGTTAACACTTGGATAAGAACATGTTGGATGATTACTCAAAGTAAAATGAAGGATAAAATTGATACTTTTAACATTTGATATCGCGTGTAAACGATATTTTTCATTAGGATTAGATAATTGATTAAAAATAAAAACAAAAAAAGAACAAAAAAATAGTAAAACAGATTAGAAGTTGTCAGAAATAATACGGTTATAATCTCGTCCTGTACTGGCACAAGTAAGAGCAAGCAAAAGATTCACGATCTCGTGATTCCAAAGTATAAAGAACGAGTCGGAGAACCGCATTCCAAAGACGATAAGCGTGTATTCCCTTTATAATGAGCATGGGGGGTTGGAAATTATTATTGTTTTTTATTTTTTTTTATTTCTTCTATGACTTTTTAATATCGATCTAATTGTTCATAATAATATTGAATTTTATTTTTTATTACAATTTTTTTTTTATTATTTAATTTGATTCTCATTCAATTTGAATTTATTAATTAATCTATAACAAGAAAAATGTAATTAATTATTTTTAATTTATTTATTTATTTAATTTAATTTAATTAAATATTAATTTTTAATAAATGATTAATCTCATTGATATTAAATAAATATCGAATTTTATTTTAATTTATATTTTATTGTTACTATTATTATTATTATTATGTTTACAATTTTCATTTCATTTTGATTATATTTATTGTTTCATAATATAACAAAAAAAAAAAAAAGTAGAGCAAAATATTTTCGAATAGTTATCACTCCATATTCATTATATTTTTGATAGGTCAAAGACACTCGTGCTTAAATATGTAAATAAGTAAATACAATAGGACTATTCTCAACGATTCAGAATGCTTATCAAACATTGGAATTTATTTTGAGTCATTCATTCCGTTAGTATAGTCAGGAAATAAGCTGTAATATTGAAGTGTCGCGATATGATGTAACTAAATTTATAAATCTTATATTAGATCAATTTACAAAAGAAAATCATATAAATTACATCGAATCTTATAGATTGAAATTAAATCGAATATAATTGACAAAATAATAATATTTAATTTAGAATAAAATCAAGAGGAGAGTTTTATCATTTTTGCATCCTTTTCATTTGTACAAGTTGTACAGATTTGTGGTTTTATTTACTAACGCGATACTTAAAAGTAAAACGATAAAACGTGAGTCATCGTTCGTTTGAAATATAGTATTAGAGAGACAACCATATTCCATATTCGGTGTTAGTTGAGCTGTGATTATTAAATAGAAGCAAAAACAACAGCAGCAACAGCAACACATCAGCTTCTCTCACATCAGTGAAAGAGAAGAAAGGCAAAAGCTTTCGTGTGTGCCGGCAGTACCGTTCTTTCTTTCAACTCACAAGCCGCAGGAATGTTCAACGATCGGGATTTTAAAGTGAGAGAGAAACGAATACGAAGAAGAAATTCCTTCTTAACCTTTTTTTTTTACTCTTTTTTTTACTCTTTTTTTTTTGTAATCAGCAAATATAAAAAATAACTCTAACGCATAAAAGTAAATTCAATTATACGATAATTTGTAAATTATCATTCGTTCAACGTTCTTATCGTATTTTGTTTTTTCTTTGTATTTAAATAAAAAAAAAAAAATAAAATAAAATAAAAGAAAAATCCGTGTCGTATTCGTTTAAATCTAAGAGATCCCACAGAAAAATAAGCTTCCATTTTTGTACTTCCGGAGTGTGTTCTGAGACAACCCACGATACTTTTGTTATCCGATAAACGGATACCAAATGGTGGTACGACGCCCTATCTACAGTTCGTATTAAAATATCTGAACGATCTTGTAACTTAAATAACTTAATAGAATTAACTAAAACTTTTTTTTTTAAATTTTACGTGTTAATTTTGTAATAAATTTCTAAAGGTTATAAAAAATAAACACAAATTTGTTCATACAATCAAATCATAAGGAAGAAGAAGATACTCAAACGAGAACAAAAAGTTTCCATTCATTTATATTTAATTGTTAACATAGTATATTAAATAATATTTTTTATTTTCAGATGTTTCTTTACGATAAGATCGTAACCGTGTAATAGAAGAAGAGAAAAGAAGGGAAAGACAGAAGACAAAAGATAATATCTTTAAAAACCGTTGGAACCATCCATAGGAAAGAATACTTCGTAAGGCTCATCGAATGAGAATATAAGAAAAAGAAAAAAGAAGAAAAAAAAGAGTAAAAGAAGAAGAAGAAGAAGAAGAAAAGCGAGGAGGTGTAACCATGGCCGGCAAGTTTTGCGAGGGACGCTCCCTTCTTCGGCAACTAGGTCTCATTTTAATTCCCCCTTCGAAACCAGAAAGAGAAAGAGAAAGAGAGAGAGATAGAAAGAAAGATAGAGAGGATCGGCAAGCAGCTGTCGTCGTTTGTGGCACGTATATTCTAGCATATCTACACTAATACTATTACCGGTCTTCCTCTAGAGTCAACTTTAAGAGAACGAATCCTTGAAATCCTCGGTTAAAACTCGTAACCACTTGAAAAAGTAAGTTCATCATTCTACGCGTGGAATTTTCAAATTTTACCGCTCGTACCTTCTTCAACAAGTGTCCACATATTACCGATTTTAAATTCAAGAGATATTATTTCCGATATTATTTATCTTGAAAAGAGAAATGATAATTGTGAGATTTATTTTTAAATGAAGGATTCTTTTTCAAGGATCTATCCATTTGCTGCTTGTTATCGTTTGAGAACATTTTGTTGAATTAATTAACTCGTTATATTTGTAATATTATTAACATACAAAGAAGAGAATGTCGAGATCGTAAGATTTATTTATTTCAATTCAAGAATTTATTTGCTTGTTTGCGTGGTACCATTTGAAAAAAAAACAAAAAAAAGAAAAACATTTTTATTTCAATCTGTTAGCAAGCAAAATACATTCGTCGAAACGAAAAACCTTTTTTAAGAAATGAAATTTCAGATAAGAGAACATGAATTCACGAAATTCGTAGGTGTAGAGATAACACAGTTGACAAAAATGTAATATAAAGGTGATGAAAATGCGAGAGAGCCGCGCCCGCACGAGTATTCGGTGAGTAGGTCACGAATCGACATTTTGCCGGAATGATGAGAGGGTGGTTTAGGTGGAATATAGGTTGACTGGGTCAGGGGTGAAAATCGGTGTCTCTAGGGACGGAAGATTATGTGGAAATGTTTATTGAAAAGTGGTAGTGGTGGTTGTGGGTGGATTAGGCGTTACCTTTCTCTGAGCTTCCGCTGCAAAACCGGATTTTGTAGCCCTGTGACTGGCCATGATCCTTCGAGTCGAGGTCGTTCACCGACGTGGAGGACCAACAAGTACGAGAAACTTTAAAAAGATTTTGTTTCTTTTCTACTTTATTTTAAATTATTATTATTATTATTATTACTTTATTTTCCTTTTCTTTCCTCTCTTTTTCGTTTCGTTTCGTTTTTTATTTCGATTTTTATTTATCAATCAATACCGATTGTATAGATCCTTTTTATTTCTTCCCTTTCTTTCTCACTCTTTTTCTTCGAAAACACGATGTGGATTATGCGAGCGTAAAAAAAAAACGAAGTTAACGATTCGACGGTCGCGGCTCGACTGAAGCGACGCTGCCGAACCAAGGCGGGTGCAGGACTCGTGCCTTTTCTCCGGCGCCGATTGGTCGCTATGCGCGCGAGTATTGAGTTTTCGAGTGACACGTGATCTCCGTTCTCCAGTCTTGCTCCGGAGATGACGTCAGCAATCGGCCGATAACGAATTCTTTGGAACGTGGATATGATCCTTTAATACGAAAACTTTTACATTTTGCTAGAATTTAGCTTTGATCCTCTTAGATGGGACATGATTTTTAATTAGGATCCTTCAATACTATTTTAAGTATCTTTTAGTAAATGCTTTTTAGTTGTTCTAATTTTTAAGAAATCAACGTGTATAAAATATCACCCTCAGATTCTGATTTTAAACTATTATTGTTTCTAGTCATTTGCACGAACTAAAGATCAAGATTTTGTGCATAAAACAAAAAAAATTGCTGATCGGTTTGATCGAGAAAAATGACGTCATCGCCTGTTGAATTCTTCACATCTTGGATCTTACCACCTTACTCTGAGAGCTTTCCATCACATGCGCCCACGAATCTTACTTTATTTCTACCATAGGTGGTCCTGACAAGTACATGACATTAATGGAATATATTTCACTGTCGAGTATATCTTATTATTTCATATTTTATTGATTATTTTATTATATTTTAAGTCAAAACATTTGTTTATTTTAACGCGTTCCACAATCGGTTGTATAAATTAATCAAAAATGTTCGAAATGTACGAATAAGCAAACGTGGGATGACTCATTAACGATGAAGGACGTATTTCGTTTTAAATTGCAGAACCGTATACGGTTTTACATTGTAACATTCTTGACTAATTGAGCAAAAATGAGTAATACCAAAAATGGACTTGAAAAATATATACTTTTATACATATTTTTGTATGTTAAATAGTATATAATTTATTAATATTTATTTTATTTTTATAATTATTATTATTTATTTGTTTAATAGAAAATAATACTATTGTATTTCTGTTTATACATTAATTTTTTATGTAATATCTGTCAATTCATAATATTTTATATATATTCATTATTGGTAGATTCTTGTTTTATCGACTAGTAAGAATTAGTAGATTCCTATTTTATCGATTAATCTCTATAAAGATATCTATTATTATCGATATGTCGGTAAGAGAAAAATCTACTATTTCTGACAAGTCGGTAAAATAGAAATTTATATAAATCTACTGATCGATAAAACAGTATTTTTCTTTTAAAAATAATAAATATAAATATAAAGATATAACCAAACTTAAAATAACAATTATAAATATCGCTATCGGTTATAAATACCTATTTATTTTAAAAATAATTAATTATCAATTACTGTATAATTCAATGTACTATTAGAAATGATTTCAAAATTAAAATTAAATTTTTTAGTAAACTGATGATCAAGATTTCATTAAAAAAAAATAACGAATCTGTTTCTTATAAATATATGATAAATCAGATCATTTAATACGTCCCTGACTCCTTTCCCCTTCGTTCGAAGGGAGGTGCGGCTTGCACCGGAAAAAGCTTGGAGGGGCGTCTTTAGTAGGACGTTGCTTGTATTATGTGCCTTTAGGTCGGACTATATACAGTCCTGTTTCACTGAAGCGGTAGCCGCGCGCGTAACACGCTTGAGTTCGCGTTTGAGTTTGCTCGTTTTATCGTTCAGATAAAGACGATAATCGTTGATGTTCGTGGAAGTTAAGAAAACAAAAGAAAAAGAAATAGAATTTAAAAAGAAAAATTTGATTATACTCACTCGAACAGTGCAACACGTTAGAAAAATAAAAATTACCGCATGCGTGAAGTGTTATTCGTATTTTCATAATCGCAAGTGACATTAACTTCCGGTTGTCGGGGAAAGAAAATAAAAATGAAAGAAGGGGCGCGAAAATCGGTGATCAAGTTAAACATTTTCAATTGATTTACGATATTTCATCAAATGTGATGATAAATTTGGTGAGGAAGAAATCATGTTCGATCCGGTCTCCGAAGAAGAGAAAAAACGTTTCTTTAGACAGAGTTACGGTGCACATTTACCAGGGTAAGATAGAAATATCGTTTATTTTTTTCAAAATATTTTTCGCATGGTATTTATCAATTTAATACTTTAATTATCAATGGAATTATTTAATTAATTTCTATTAAAAACTTAAACACGCCGATTCGTTGTCGTTGAACTTTTACAGATATACATACATACAATATATTAGTGAAAGAAATGTTTCTCGGTACTATACAGAAAGAATCTAGCGTGTTATCGATTAGACTTCTTTCATTCACCCCAACGAGACTCTTCTAAGGTTTTTAAGAGGGTACGTTAAAACGTTATTGATCCTCGTTCATAAGAACATTTCTTAAGGATTACATAGATCGAAGATTATTCAAGAATATTGAGAAAACATGATGATTTCTCAAAGACGATCGTTTAAAACCAAGTCATAAACAGGTCTAATTAAATTTGCAAGTTGATTAACGCCAATACTGAAGTTGTCTTGTACGGAATACACATACGTTGCATAACGTATGCAAACAATACCGAGTATCGAAGTTACAATTCGACGTATACATCATTATCATTGCGCATCAACATAACTAAATGTTCATTGTGATCCAAACAACGAGATAAACGTATATCGTTTATATTATATAAACAAAGTGAAATCAAATTAAATTTAAATCATTAGACAAATTATATCTAAATTATGATAATGATTTATTAAATAATTAAAGTTTATATAAGGTATTCCTATAAAAAAAAAAAATAGCGTTTAACTTAGAAATAATAAATCGAAGTATCTCGATAAAAATAGATAAAAGAGTGATCTAAAAGAGTGCTCGTACTTTTACTCTTATGGAAAGTAACATAGGTTACTTACAAACACGATAACGGTGACTTTCTATAGAACGTATTAGTGTGCGGATGTCAAACGACATGTCCGTAGAATATATAATAGAACGTGTCTGTGTATCTCTCACGAGACTTGATTACGTGATCAACGATCGAAGATGAAGATCTAAAACTATTACACGTACTTGAATCTCTTTCTTATTCCCATTTTATTTCTTGAGATTTACACGATTCTTTTTCTATCACTTTCCAAGAACGTTCAAACGTCAAAAACGGTCTGATTACTTTGAGAAAGGTAACAACGATCTCATCGATGGAACACAATCTTGAATTATACGGTTTCTGAGTAAGAAACTTCGACGCGTCGGACCGTGAAAATTCATTCGAAATTTTCTATTATTCTCTTCCTCAATCTACTTTATTTTCATAATTTATTTCAACAAGAGAAAGAGAACTACTTTATATAGATTTGCATACGTTCCGAAGAATACACCTTGACCTCAACCTCGAAAATAAATATCCCATTAACCTAATTAACAAACGTGTTAATCGTATACAATCAATCAAGGTGATCGTACCGCAACGATAAATACACAAGTACCAATAATATAACTAGGTCTTTCCAATTTGCAACAATTCTACCTTACAAATCACGCTAAGTACTTTGTCGTATTGTCCTGTTTTATCTTGTCCTTGAATCAAAGATAATATGGAGTGAGAATTAGATCACTAGTCTAACCCTTGACACATGCATCGGGAAAGTATCGACCAGAGAGGAGTGTGTATCGTGAAGCTGGTACCAAGACTGGTACCGAAACACTTTACACCCCCTAGAACCAACCACGCAAAGGTAAAATACGCGCGAAACTATCCAACTTATGACGATTTGCATCGAAATGTTTATTCTAAACTGAGATACTTCTATTCTTGTTCTATTAACACTAGATTGCCCGAGATTTCTTGTATAGCTATATTGCCCAAAAACAGTCAAAATGACTGCATTGTGAAAAAATAACTAATGTGTAAACAAATTTGTTTAAAATTAATTTTTAATATTTCTTATATTATTTACAGTTATACAACAAGTTATTAGTAAATATTAACAATATTAATTAATTAATTATTATTAATTCTAAGAAATTGTGTCATTATATACATAATTGTTTTTCTAATTGAAAATAAAAAACAGTCAAAATGACTGCCTTGGGCAATCTAGTGTTAAAATCGATTCTTGGAAAAAACAAAAACGTTAAAGGAAACAAAAGACACTAGTTTGATGAGTTAGTTAAATATAATAAAGGAAATCATTTTTTTATAAATAATAGGAATAATTGTACGAGAAGATAAAAAATTAGACGAGTTTGAATAAAGTTGAAAATGATTTATAGTAAATTAGTAAATGTAATAAGATAATAATTTATCGTTTAAAGATAAGGATTTAATCGAAATTATTAATTAAAGATAATCATATCGTTGTAATACGATTTCGATGTAAGAAAAATCTGTTGACAGATATTGATACGTTCGTGAATCTAAAAGACCTCCAGCAATGACCTAGATCGATTTCGTATCGATCTCAGAGTATCACGACACACGTCGATCATATATAAACGACTTTCTGCGATGTACGCTAATAGTCAATGCACCATGACCGTCACAGTGTGAGCTTACCCATCTGGTAGTAGTATACGAGTAGTAGGTCACCGGTAGTGTACATTTTTACGATCCGTTACTTCAATGAGCCGATGATGGTATCGTCATCCATTGTATTTTATATTTTATATCTCTAACAAAAGATCAAGATCAAATTTAAAACGATCTTATAAACGAATAAAGATAATAATTATTTGTTTTTAACAACTTAATTATATTTTTTCAGATACACAGGTCATTGTCCAACACTTAAGTTTAGAGTTGGAAAAAGATTTGGAGCTAATACGGAAGAAATAATGAGGGTAAGATTTATTTGATTTGAAATGTAATTTTATTAGATCTACCGGTCTGTAAATATCTATAGTGATTTTGAAATTCTTTCTTAAACGTTTGTAGGAGTTGTTGGAAAAGAAGATCTTGAAATCAGGGCCTTATAGGCCGAATTCCGGTAAGGACGTTGCGCTCGTTACGATACCGAACGAGAAGGACATTAGAAGAGATTGGAAAAATGACGCACACTTGTATAAATCACCGCCATACATTTTAGGATACACAGGTAAAGAAATTGAAAAAAAAAAAATGATAACAATATTGTCTCATCTTTTAAACATTTATCATTTTTTTTAATTTTAAAAATTCACAAATAAGATTTTACGAATGCTTTTTTGAAAAATTATTCTGTAAGAAAATAAAAAAGAATAGAATATTAATTTTTATGAACACCTACATTAAAATATTTTCTTAAAACAATAGAATTGACGCGTGTAGTATCCTATGACTAAAGAATAAAACCATTTGAATTTGAATCTTTAGGATATATACCTGGCTTTAACAGCAGTTATGGTCTTCCCTTTATGAGGGCTGTCGAAGAGGGTGCAAAAGAATGGCACGAAGTTCAAACTAAACTAAGAGCACGTATGGACATGATGAGGGCACAGGCTGAAAGGACTAATTCAAGAAATCTTTTATCACGTGTCAGAGCAGATAATGTTGCTGTTGAGATCGATCATGGTCACAAACGAGAACGAGTTATTTTTGGTAAATTTGAACAATCATTCATTCCCTTCATTTTTAATCAAACAATTTTACTCACCGATGAGTTTTATTTCATTTCATTTTTTCTTTTTTACAGATTGTACGGTTTCTCCAGAAAATCCACCGATCGTTGGTTACACAGGACACATTCCTGGAGCAAAAGGTGAAGTTGCACTTTCTAAAAGATACGCTCAAGCTGTTAAAACGGGTTTAAAATCAGTAAGAAAAGAGCGTGAACAAAGACTGAATAAATTAAAGGATGTTCATCCTGTACAAAGGGTACTCGATGCTGCTTGCGTCGATGAAACTGGTCATACGAGAGCATAAAAAATGAAAAGAAAGAAAAAAACAATTCTACAATATATTTTAGAAAATGTATGATGTTATATAATCTTTATCTTTGATACAAGGATTAAGATTTTGAGATAAAAACAAATAATAAGAAGAAAAAATGATACAAAAGTAAGTAAATTTTCACTTACAAAAATGGTAAGCATCTTATATTTTTATTCTACATATATATATATTTATATATAAATAAATAAATAAATATTATATATATATATGACGAGAGCTTCTATAAAATATTGATTTTATCAATAGTATCTTGGCTATTAAATATTAGCCGCAATACTTACTTAAAATTTGTGGATCGATACTCTTATGCCAGCAAAAGTGGATCAAGTTATAGATCATGCCTTATCCATTTTAATGTGAGAAATAAATGAAATATTCAGCACAAAATAACGTGATAAATGGTAGAAACAATAAAATTATAGTTGTTTTTTTCTTTCTTTCGTCAAAAAAAACATCGCGACAATTATTCTTATATCAAACATAAGTACTTACTGTCCTTTTCTCTATCATCATATTTTTATCAAATATGTTATTATATTTATATCTATATCTATATATATTTATTATATGAAATAATTAGAATAGTAATGTTCTTTAATTTACGAAAGCTTTTTAATTCTCTTCTCTAAAACATTTTCAAAAAAAGGATACTGAAATAAGCTAGTGATTATGAAAACGATCTAACTCATATTTCTTGAGATTTAAGTTTGAATTATTTCCAAATTATTGTTATCCAATTATTATTATTATCTAATTATTTCCAATATTTTCTAAACAATTCCCTATCAAACTGCATTTAACTAATAGGTACCATTAGCACGTACCTAAAACATTACGAGCTATAAGGTTTAACATATCTGCGAAATTGACCAATCTTTTTTCTGTTTCTGTACTGGAAATTTATTCTTAGGTATTCGCGTAAATAATTAAAAAATAATTTAAACAATATATAATAAACGAATATATTTATTTCATAACGAAAGAATACAAAAAAATAAAGTATTAAAATAAAATCTATGCAATAGTGTGTATGTAAGAAAATATGCAGTAAATAATATTTATTTTTAATGTTTTTCATTTCCGTTTAATGTTATTATTAAAATGCTTTACATTTTATTTCTAGCAAGAAATGCAACAATGTTTGTTTGATGGATTATTATTTTTTTTCTTTTTTTATTAAATGTCGTTTACTACTTTATGATACGGATACATTTTAAATAATAATTAACAAAATATATCTTTTAATATCTCAAATGACATATAATTAGATCATTTCCATAATTACCGATTAATTTATTAAATTTATATATCAATTAGTAATTTTTTTCTTGTCAACGTACTCCACGCCTAAATATTCCGTCCATCTATAATAAATGACTTTGTACAAAGAACTCTAGGACCATATCGAAAAAAAATTCATATATATATATATATATATAAAATTTCACCGTCAGTTCTCATTAAAGCATTCATCAAAAAAAAAAAAAAAGAGAAATTCTTTAAATGTTTTCGTCCGGAAACATTCTAAAAGAATAATAAACATATGAATGAACGATATTTACGAGCTAATTCCATTTTTCCTTCGTAATTGGATCTCTGATTTCAATATTTGAAAAGTGGAACTCTTAGCCGTTAAAAAAGAAAAAAAGAAATTAATGATCACTATAAGTGTCGTCTCACGTTAATGAATAGAATTGTAAAAAAAATGTTATTTGTGTAAATAAAATTATGAATAAACAGATAACTTTCGTATAAAAAAGTAATTGTAATTATAAAAATACATATTATATATATATTCTTAATTAGAATTAGTGATATATCTGTACATGTTACAGCATCAATTTGTTGCAAATCGAAGTGAATAATATTTACAGATTTAATTTCTGAATTTATTAGATTTTTTCTTATTACTGTTGGACAAATAAATTCTGATTTTATAATATCATGCTTTTTAAAAAAGAAAAGAACAAAATCATCACTAATTTCTTTCATGAGTAAAATACTTAAAAATTGAATATTATCACATGTTGCTTTCTTTGAACACTTACTGTATCAAGAATTCCATAAATTTTCAACTCTTTTTTCATCATTAATTGAATATTATAATCAATAAATTCTAAAACCATTCTCTTGACTTCTTGACAAATTACTCAACCAATTTCTTAACTTAATTTCATGTTCTGTTATAAAAGTATTTAAATATTCTGTTAGATAGTTAATTAGATAGTTAATAATATTAAAATTAGGTAATATTTAAAGTCGTTGCTATTTTAATCCAGTAAGCGTATTTTTACAATATATAGATAACAGTAGATTCCTACATTTGTTTACGGTCGATAACAATAAATTCTTGCATTTATCGATATCAATAATAGAAGATTTCTGTTATAGATGTATAATGATCAAAGTAATTTGAAGGACATAATACACAGGTATATTTAAAATTTATTTTTTTACTTACTACAAAGTGCAATATAAAAAAATTCAGGTTTACTGGATAAAAAATAGCGACAACCTTAAAAACATTTGTCAAAAATGACTTAATAACAAAATTTTTCTTCATGATATAATTCTTTTGAAACAAATCGAATTATGCCATAAACATTTTTGATACCATTAAAAATAAAGAAAATAGTTAGGTGGTCTTCTTCAGCTTACGTTGTATACCATTTATTTATTACGTTGTGGCAATCTGTTAATTCTTTCTAATTCCATAGCAACTGTTCTCTTCCAGCATTCTACAGTAAGTTTATTTTGTCCGTATGACAAAGACATCAGTCTTGTTAAAACTATCAAAGAATGTAAATTTTCTCCAGTTATATTTCTATTCGTTTGCCGTATTTGTACGAAGTCTTCTTGAATAACCTGCACGAAATATAATGAATTGTTAATATATTATTTGTAACCATAATACTTAAAAATTATTATCAATTTAGTAATTACTTACATTTGTAACATCCTCATTGAATTCAAATTCGGTATGCCTTAGAACTTCAAGATAATGGCGAATATCATTCAATCGATTTTGATCCTTCAAATATTGCTTAGTAGCTTCGATTACTTGAAAGTATAGATTTTCCGATTCTTCTTTTAATACAACCTGAGTTGGACACTATAAAATAAATGAATTATAATCCTGAATTTACTTTACTAGAACCTATTTTGATTTAGTGATAAAAAAAATGTTACTCACGGTTATAAAAGATTTTGCTTCTGACAAAATTAATACAGGTATATCAGTATCATAATCCATCGTATAATATTTAAAATCATATGGCACTTTCTGAAACGTAACTAAATTCGTAATAGCATCATAGTTCTGTTTACCAGCTTGTGAAACTTGACCGCTGGTCAATCCTGTTTCATCAATAACAAGATGAGTATGAGCACTTAATTGAAGTATACCACTTGTTAATCTGTTGCACTCATAATCTTTCCTAAAATATAAGAAAAATTTGTTTTAACTAATATAATGATTGGACATGTTAAATTTATTGGATATATTGATATAGTCAAGATAACTTACTTTGGTATGAAAGTCATATCGTTTAAACTTTCTAATGTAACTTCCAACAAGTGACTTTTTTTTATAAATAATTTTAAAAAGTCGTAAAGATTTTTAGGGAAGTCTTTAAACTTGGTAATAGAAAAATTAGTAATGTTTAAGGGATAAGTACCAAGACAAAGATAATCTTTCCTCATATATCTATAAAGAAGATAATGTTAAATCTGTGTATACGATTGTGAATATTTAATACTAACATTACACATACATAGAAGATAATAAATGACAAATGAGATAATCAGCAGCCAATTGATCACCAAATAACAATTGACTTAAAATTAAATGCAGATCTCCTCTAATTGCCTGTGCTCTTGATATAATTAATGGTGCATTTTCTATTTCATGTTTTGTCAGCACAGTTATTTTTACCACGTGAAGTCTTGGTACAAGAGAAACTGGAGGATTGTGAGTGTTCATTTCAACATCATCCATTTCTTCTGAATTATTAATAAAACTTAATGCTGGATCAAGCGATATAAATCCAATTATATCTACAACTTGATTCAACTTAAAATGTGTTGTTTCATCGTAGATCTAAAAATATAAAATATAATATAAGAGTAACAATAAATACAATAATAATTTTAAAAAACGTATATCATAATTTGTAAATAGAATTGTAATATATTATTTTTTTTAACACCTTGACTGCAAACAGCAACTATAGGTGCCTGGAAAAATAGCTCTCTCTATGCAAACAGTATCTATAGCACCTAATGCGAAATGTTTGTCTATAATAAATGAAGAGCTATTGTCATATTTTGTTTTTGAGAGTTCTGCAGTCGAAGTGTTAAAAATAACAAGAATATTGAAAATAATTAATTAACCTTCACGATGCAAGCTTTACCATCATCAATTGGTATAGGAAAATTTAAAATATATTCCTTAGATAAAATACCATTGTTTTCCTTGTTATTTTTAGCGTTATTATACGTTTCATTAGTCTCGTCTGTTAATAATTTTTCTTTTTTCCTAGTTGGTTCAGAACAATCCATTTCTTCAACTTCATTATTCTCTAAACTTCTTTTATTCATATTATAATAGTTAATTACATTTCTATTTAAATTATTGGTACTAACATTTTCTTCTTTTGCCCAATCATTTAAACCCGGTGTAGAAATAACAACGTATGTTTGCCTTTCAGAACTGATATTCTTTTCTGAGTTAAAAATAATTTCTTCATTTGGCTAAAAAAATATTAATGATCCACTATGAAATATTTTACATTTGAAAAGTAAAAAGATATGCAAATGAATTGTATTATAATAACGTGTGATACTCATGACACCCTCTATGGTCTTAGTAAGAAAAACATGAGTCTTACTTATGAAATACTATGTAGCTTTGAGCATTAAATTATAATACAAAGAATTATATAAAAAATAATTGTAGGTCGTACTATACATGAAATTAACTAATCTTTAAGCATCTCACACCTGTAAAGACCATTTCTTTTCTATTGGTCTTACATCATATCCAGAGTCTAAATAATCGACTTAGATATAAAAATAGATTTAAAAATGATGTAAGACCTTATATATGAAAATAAATAAATAAATATATATATATATATATTGATTATTACCGATGATAAAACTGAATCCATGTACATTCCAAATCTAACGTCGCAATATCCACTTTGTGTATTTTTAACCTCATATTTTTGAAAATAGTATTCAGGATTATACATATCTTGTATCATGCCACGAAACCTAACAAGTTGTTTATCCTTAAAACAATGTAAGGGTGCATTGTTTAACAAAGGAATTTCTTTTAACGCATTGCAATTTGATAATACGGATTTACAAGATGTTTGATTGTTAACAAAATACTCGGGTGTCCACTCATTAATATTGAGAGCTAAAAATAACATTAAAAAATATACATAAATTTATATATTTAAAGAATTATGAATGATAGAAATATTTGTAATTGATTATGTTTATTATTAAACAATGAAAAGATATTTTTAAAACAAGATAAAAAAAAGAGAAAAAGAAAAAACTTACACATTATTTTATAGTTAATAATATTAATTCAATATTTGTGTATAAAGTAAGTTTAAATGCATTCAAAATATAACAACTATTTATAACTTGTAAACACACTGATACAAAATTTTCGACATGGGCTGATTTTTACATTTACCGACATAATTTGACAAGTGGTGCCACCTATATTACTTCGATGTGATTGGTTGATTCTGTCGTTTGATAGTTTGATTTCCTGAATCGATATTATATGAGTGTGTTTTATATTAAAAAATAATAATAATATATATGTATATATAAATTACGTACGTATATTATTTAAATTTTATATTTTAATTATCATTATAAAACTAAAGACTAATGTACATACATAATTTACATGAAATTTTTCAAACGTCATTTTTGATTTTTTCATTTATAATGACAGTTAAACTCGTAATAGTGTTAAACCAGCGGCATTGTGTTTATTCGAATATAAAATAAACCTAAAAATATGTTAGTACTTTATTAATCTTCAAACAAACGATATTAGGAAAAAAACGTTTAGCGTTTATAATACATAATAATTCAGTATGAAAATAGGAGTCCATCCATTGTCACATAATCCTGATGAAGCTTATAAGGAGATATCACAGCAGCAACAAACATTTAAAATAAATGTTAGAACTCCTACGATTGATGCACCAGATGATAAGGTAATTTTATAATATATTACATTTCTTTTTAATTTATAATATCATATAATGACAAAACTTTGTCAACAGCTGCGTGTAGTCTGTATGAGTGATACGCATTCTCTTACACAGCATATAAAATTTGATATACCCAATGGTGATATCTTCATTCATGCTGGAGATTTTACGAAGTGTGGTAGTTTACAAGAAGTTCTTGATTTTAATAAATGGATCGGTTAGTGTCCACCATGTTAGAGATACATATGTTTAATTTCAACCACGATTAATAATTCAGCTAATATCATTGTTTACTTTATAGGAAATTTACCGCATAAGTATAAAATAGTGATAGCTGGAAATCATGAGCTTAGTTTCGATCCAACATTCACAAATCCTTTTAGTATGCATACTTCTGGGGACCGTCAAAAACATACAGGGACTAGTATCATTGACAGTATACCTACATTAGGAATGACCAAAGATGTTCTCGTAGAAGCCATTCAAACAACCGATATTAGAAGTTATTTAACTAATTGCATGTATTTAGAAGATTCTGGAGTCACTTTATATGGAATTAACATATATGGTACGCCATGGTAAGTAATTCTACAGGCATACAATTGAGAAAAAAAAAGAATTAACACTTGAACCTGTAGCAAATTATTTCAGTCTTAAGTTTCTTTTTCTTTTGAGGAACGTTTCCTTAAAACTTTAGGCAACCAGAGTTTTGTAAATGGGCTTTCAATGTGCCACGTGGAGAACCATGTCTTTCGAAATGGAATTTGATACCAGAAAATACAGACATACTTGTAACGCATACACCACCCTTGGGTCATGGAGATTTTTGCTGTAGCGGAGTACGAGCAGGGTGTGTAGAATTGCTTTCTACAGTACAGAAACGTGTAAAACCAAAATATCATGTGTTTGGTCATATTCATGAAGGTAAATTGAAGTATCGTATAATTAATTTTTTATAATAATGTGTGAAACATCTATGAATAATAATAAATGAAAAAAATTATTACTACCTTTATATTTCTTATAGGATACGGTATCTCTTCTGATGGAAAAATCATTTATATAAATGCATCCACATGTGATATTAATTATTTACCAAGTAATCCTCCGATAGTATTTGACATAACATTACCACCTGGATTTGAGAAGTAATAAATTAGTAATCAATATACTTTAATATAAAAAATGACCAATTTGTATTATTGTTTTGTTTTAGAATTTAATATTTTTTTAATTTTATATTTATATATATATATATATATATATATATGTCTAATATCAATTACTGATAAATTATTTAAATTTCTAATGTTATGTTTTAAAAAAGGATTAATTTGCGTTTATAATTATATATATATATATATATGTCTAATATCAATTACTGATAAATTATTTAAATTTCTAATGTTATGTTTTAAAAAAGGATTAATTTGCGTTTATAATCGTTTCTATTTTTTTATCGTATAATAATAATACACATATCTAAAATTCTAATTAAATTATTATGCCATGTTATATTCTTTTAATCAAAAAATTAGGACAACCGATATAAAATGGAATAAATAGAACTATAGTTATTGTTATTATACATAGCATTATAGTGCAAAGCAAATAATACTGGAACGATCGTTTAATATATTTATCATTTTCATGAATTTATAATCTTTATTAATTGACCATTTTTTATGCTAAATTGATGAGTCCCCAGGATATTAATAAGCTACAATGTAATATTGCTTTGGTTTTATTTTTTTTATTTGTTTTTTTTTGTGTGTGGTAATACCCAATTTTACAATAAAAAACATTTTTAAGCAAAAATAAATTTTTGTTATATGTAAATTGGAATATATATTGATAATTGTATTTAATTATTTTTCATTTATTGGTCCAAGATAAATTGCAGATATTTTTATCAAACTCACAATTAATATTGTTCACAGTAAGAAAAAAAATTATATGTCAATATAAATAATTAATTTCCTTTAATTACTAAACTCTTATTATAGTATTAAGATACTATATGTGAGATAGATATTCATATAATATATATAAAAAATTTTTAATTACCGCAATTTTTATATATTTTTTTTGCTTTGTTATAACTTATTGGGTGTAAGATTGGTATTAATATATATGAGTAATTGATATATTGCAGATCTTGCATGTACCATCTACAATGGTAAAATATTTTCGATAATAATTATATTATGCTCAATTATTGTTTTATGAAAATTTATGCACTGTCAATTTTCTTATATAGAGCACGTATTTAAATTAAGGAAATTATTAAATTTTCTTTTTATGTATTATAAATATATGAACTATTTTTTTAATTATTTATCAACATTATGTTGATCTCACTCGAAGGCATTTATAAATGTTATTTTATGAATTAAAATTCATACAATGAAGTTATGTTTATGTGACAAATTATTCGAATCAGCAGACATTATAATTAGAATGATTTCCATAGATTTTCTTATTTCTTAGCATACATATAATAACATAATTTGAATTCACGTAGAATCTATTTATCAATTTAATAGCTACAAACATACCATTCTGAAAACTCTAAAATAATGGCAGATATTATCTTAATTTCTATCAAAAATCATCACCAACAAAATAAAATTTAAAAAAATAAAGAAAGAAAAGATCTAATGATTTTAAAAATATTTTTCCCTCATTAACCAATGAAGGTAATATCTTTTTACTAAACTAGGAAATAATAAAAATAATGGACAAATGTAAAAAGACTACATTCTTTTTCTTCATTCATTATTAGAAGAGTATACTAGAATTAATTTTAAACCTAGTATGGCACATTAGAGAATAGATACGATACAGATTCCCCATTGTGGGTCCTTCTGACAGCTTCGGCAAACATCATTGAAACATCGATACACTGAAAGTTTATTCAATCGTTTAATACATGGATTGACCCCTAGTAGCACAAAATACTACTAAAATAACTATTAAATAAGACATTGAATCTCTTTTTAATATTAAATACACATGCATTCAATATTTTTCAATATTTTGTGCTACTGTGCTGACAATACAAATTTAATTATTTTTATTACCTGTATTTTCGGACAATCTTTCATGTGTTCATCTTGAGGAATAGTATTAGTTACTACGACCGCTTCAAAACATGCATTATTGATTCTACTAATAGCTGGTCCACTGAAAATTCCATGTGTAAGAATGGCATATACTTGTGTTGCGCCAGCCTCTAAAAGTTTTTCCGCAGCATGGCATATTGTGCCACATGTATCAGCCATATCATCGACTAATATTGCTACCCTATCCTTAACGTCACCTACTAGTACCATACTTGCTACTTCATTAGCCTTTTTCCTTTCTTTATGAATAAGCGCGAATTCGACATTAAGTCGATCAGCTATTGAAGTTACTCTGAAAAATATTCAATTATTTTAGATTACTCTATTTTTATTGAATATTTCATCTCTTTCACATTTTTCTTTATTATCTACCTTTTGGCACCACCAGCGTCTGGAGAAACTATGATGCTATTCCTCCATTCGACGATATTTTCTTTAATCCATTTTAAAACGGCTGGTTCGGCGAATAAATTGTCGACCGGAATATCAAAGAAGCCTTGTATTTGACTAGCATGCAGATCCATGGTTATTATATGATCAGCTCCTGCCACTGACAGCATATTTGCTACTAATTTGGCTGAGATCGGTGCACGACTCTGTAAAATATAATTACATCATTAATAATACAAGTATATTAATGAGTCCCTCAAGTCCATTTGCAACCGGATATCTCCTGTAATAAAAAAAAAATTGATACCGTTAGAATTATTTAAGCAGCCTGCCTGTTAAAAAACAATTACACCTTTGCTGTATCAGTAAAACTGAGAAAGAATATATAATACATTCTTTTATTTAAAAAATTTTGATTGTTCAGCGGTTACATGATGTTATATTCTCATATGATCTCTCCTACATTTAAATATATATACAAATATAAAAACATAATTAAATTCTTTTTAAAAATTTTTTTTTCAGAGGGGACAAAATATAAATACAATGGCCAAATGCTAAATACTTCGAATACTGATACAAAAATATAGACAGGAATAAACATGATATATAAAAAAGGTCAAAGATGTGTTGCAAATGCACCCCAGTTAGACTCAACAGAAACTATAATTAAAGCAAAATATTGAAAAAAGTTAGAAAATCATAACAGCACAATGCATCTCAACTCTCCTTTGCCTTCGTGTAGCAAAAGATAATAAGTATTGAACAAGAGGGCAAACACTTAATCAGATTAAAAATAGATAGTAGTTAATCATAGATAGGAAACATGTCGATCTTTTATAGTATCTCACACAACAAACATCGCGATGTATATGCTTTTTTAAAAATACATTAACAAATTATTTTCAAATATTTCTTTCGAATAACATATTGATAAACACGAAGCATATAATTATGCATATGTTTTTTATAGCATGTTGTTTGTTATACACTGAAATGCATTGTGTGCACAATCTTAATAAATCAATACATGTTTTTTATTGTCTCTTATATTAGATATAATAGAAATTTCATAAAAGCAATTATGTGTTAAAAAATACTTTCACTATTTCAAACCTTAATTAACTTAAACATGAAAATCCATTATCAAGACAGCACAAATTGATTTTTTATCGCTGAAGCATTCTGTTTAGATAAGGCATCTTTAATTTACCTTTTACTCTCTTTCTTTCTCTCTCTTTCTCTCTCTCTCTCTCTCTCCCCCTCTTTCTCTCTATGTATTAGTATATGAAAGAAAATGATACAATTTTAAGCTATGTATTTATTAGTACCCACAAGCACACATCAATGTACCCCATAGATGGATTATTAATGATATATGTATGTATAGTGCTATTATATTAATATTTTGCCCTCTCATTCATATGTCAGTAATAATATGTTTTCTTTTTAATTAAAAATTTTTTTTTTTTTAAATACAATTTATCATCCATTCAATTTACTCATTCGTTAATTCTATCAGTCATTCATTCATGGGGATACCATTGTACTATATAGCAACGAATATAAGTTTTGTTAGTCCTACAAATAAAATTTGCTGATATCGAATTAAAAAAGAATTATTATAACTTGAATGGTTCATTGAGCTATCATTACAAACGCTTCACTCGACAATCTTGTTGCTCTTAAATACTCACTGTAGACAGGTCGGGAAGAGTATCCTGAAAATACCCAACTATTCAGAAACATAAAGCAACCTTTGTATATATTTTTTTTTTTAATTTTACCGATATTAACATAAATATCAGTTTAAAAAATATTTGGTTTCATTTCTTTTAACGTTCCTAAACAAAACTTATGTAAATATGTAAATGCCTTATATAAATCTATTAAGGGGGTATTCTGGTCTAGAGGCATGAATTTTAGGTACTTTTTCAAGTGTAATAACAAAAATACGAATAATATTTTCACTATCTATAATGTTACAAGATAGTAATTAATATTTCGAAAATACATGGAAAAAAAAAATAGTGAAAAAATTCAAAATTGAGAAAGATATAGGCTGATGAAGTGGGGGGTCCCAAAAAAAAACGGCGCGCGACAATTGTCAAGATTACAGTTCTCCTGGTAATATGAAATAAAAAATTAAAACGGATTATTAAATTAGAATAATGCCGCTATCGTTCGAACTAAAAGAATTGAAAAAAGTTTTTTAAAAATACTAAAAATTGAAAATTTTGTAAGATTTTAGTTTGCACGATAGAGTAATGCATAGAGAAGACTCTCACCAAATTTCAAGAAAATCGGTTTAGTAGAACTACAGATATCTTGACAATTGTGAAAAAAAAAAACAGTTTCGAGAAAAATGCGTTCAAAGTTTCGCGTAATAAGGGTAGGATATAGGATGCTGCGTCACTAAAACAGCTAAATCTCCGAAAATAAATTGAATTTTGAAAAATCCTCTCGAGGACATATTCTTAAAAGGTTAAGCTTTGAAAATATGAAAAAAAAAAAATCGATTGTTTCAAATTTCTAGACCAGAATACCCCCTTAATAATATAAACTAGAAAATACCGACATTATATCTCTCACGTAATGTGCGTAGGGATAAAGACCCCCTCGATGAAACTTATCAGTTGTTTTCTAACATATATATACATTAAGTTATCTTACATTTGATAACCTTTAAAATTTTGATAGTTGATAAATGATGTGTAATAATGCATATGCATTGCAACGGTGATGATTTCTGTACCAAAGTGCTATTTGTAATAAACCAAATCATTTGTCATTAACATACGTCATTATGTCAATAACACGAATAAATTAAAAAATAAGTAGATAAATAAATAAAAAAAATTAACAGTTACAGGAAAAATATTATGTGAATTAGAATTTTATAGAACGTGCTTACAATGATTGGTTTAACCAAAGAAATAATTCATTTCCCTTTATGCTTTTTCTGTCATGAATTCAAGAATAAGTGCAGCTATTAAAATGATCACAAATTTCAATGTAATTTGAAATGTTTGAATTATACTATTTTTAATAATTATGATTATATTGTATATAAATGAAATAGTTAAATTGTTGTAAGATATGAAAAGATTAATTGCATCAACATTAAGACATCTTTCTTTTTTTTGGTAATGCTGTAATTATTTGATATTGATTAAAACATGCATTTTTGTTACAAAAACAACCCTAGATAAGCCTCTTATTTTTGAAACATTTGTATAATATTTTATTTTGATTGCATGAACTTTGTCTTTTTTTAAAAATAGCTTTAAATAGTATTCCGTGATCATCTAGGGTTGTATATTCAATAAATAATATTTAACAAATATTAAAAATTCCCGATTAGTTACATAAATATTTTTGGAGCCATAGTACATAAATAGTTACTTTTAGATATTACTATATACTTTTAGATATTACTATATACTTTTAGATATTACTATATACTTTTAGATATTACTATATACTTTTAGATATTACTATATACTTTTTGATATTACTATATACTTTTAGATTTAGATATTTACTTATTTAAAAATTTCCTAAATTGATACCATAAGTGTTCACAAATGATATAAGGACCCTATAATAAATAATAAAGATACCATCTAATGCAGGCCAATGATATTAAAAGCAGTAAAAAAGGCATAAGCATGTTTTTTCATGGATATGAAATTGCCAAAACTTGCATCCGTAACATGATACTCCATTTGTTTTGTTGTTGATGTTGTTGCAAAGTTAAATATTTAACTGAGAAGAATAAAAAATAATATCCGCCAGAAGTTACCCTGAATTTCCACTCGTTTGACTTCATGACAATAAGACTCTTATTGGAATTCGACTTGTCACCACCATCGCCTCCCTGTGAAGATATCACAGACAAAAACAATTTTTACTTCTGCTCTTAAGAGAAGTTTTCTTCCAGTAGAAGTTTTTTCTTTCTTTATAATTAATTTTACATTTTAATGGCACATTTAACTCCGACGATATAATTTAAACTGTAAAAAACATGTATCAAAAGCTGTAAGCAAAAAGATAATTTTCTTTTTTCTTGAGATAATAGACGCTTTTATATGTCGAAAGTAAAAGTAGATCACGTATGAAAGTGTTATCGAATAGTATTAAAATAAAATTTCAAGGATGTCATTATATAAAGTTAATTTATACAAACTGGATTTATTACTATCCCAAGATATAGATGATATAAGCGGAGCTACTCTCTTAAGAAATTAATATTAATTTCATTCATATAAATATAATTATATTAATCTATGGTTCTTTCTATTTATGTGTGTTACTTATTACAATTAAAAAAACACATCCACTTTGCAACTTTACTAATCATATCATATATAATATTTAATATATAGTTAATATTAATAAATGTTAATACTACATATGTCCTATAACTGAAGAAAACTAAAAAATACAAAACATTTTCACAAATCTTATAACTCACCAGTCTTTGATACAAGATTTTAAAATCATCTATATAAAATTGTGTTGTGACATTAATATTAAAAAAAAAAAACATTTTCTATTCTCATAAATAGCTCAATAATAAAAAATTAAGGAAGGGTAAAATAAGTCTCTCAAAAACTTAAAAAATAACATTAAAATAAAAACATATTATTAATTTAATTAGTTCTCATTTTACCTTGTCTTTTTTATCCTGCCTTGCGTATGGGAAACACGGGATTACCGCTGTAACTCTGGATGCAGATGCTATTTTACAAGCATTTATCATAATCAAAAGTTCCATCAAGTTATCGTTAACTTCTCCGCTTCCACTTTGAACAATGTACACATCTTCTCCTCTGACTGATTCTCCTATTTCCACGCTGTTTAAAATATGAAATAAAAATATTTTAATAATTAGATTTTTTCTTTTTTTGTCTTTTTCTTTTAATTTCTAAAATTACATACTAGTAAAACATGAACATATATTATATTAAATTACGCGATATAAATAATATATATTTATCAATGATCATATTAAATTTCACGATTACTGTTAATAAGTTACATATAATCTTGTGCTTGACTAAACATATCTAATCATAAGGAGGAAGCTCTATAGGCATTACACGCGACGAGGACAGATCTATACTATATCGGAAAATTTATATATTGCGTATTAAAAATAAAACAGAAACATTAGCGAAGAAAAAAACTATTGTTTCAATTAACATAATAATAGTCAAAAAATTATATCGATAGAATTGCGCATGAGATAAAACGCAAACAAGCAAGTACACCGGTTCTTTTGTGAGTGTATGTGTCTATCGGTGAGGTGACATTAAAAACATAGGAATGATAAAACGTTGACATAAAAATAAATGATCTGCAGTATCCTTCATAAAGGAATAGATACAACTAAAAATAATTTTTATAAATTACACAGTGACACGTGGTCTATATTTCAATGTTAACCCATTAAAAGAATAAGAAAAGCGTGGTTAAGTTATTGGAAATAACGATCATTACCATGTCTCGAGGTTGCTGAACTTCTTCGTGACAACTTTTCCAATGTCAATCCCAAGCCTGTCAACAATTCGTTGGGCAAGCTCAGGATGAGATGTACCACTGAATACTTTGATATTCGGCATCCTGGTTTGTAATAACCTAGCGCGAGAATTTTCCAAGTTTGCCCGTAACAAACTCTTAGCACGCACTGGCTGCGACACAGGCATAACTGAAAAACAGAAAGTATCGAAAACCCCCAACCAATAGTATACATCCCTTCTCTGCGCCACCGGAAGTAACGTAACGAATCTTAGCTCCGCCCACTTTCAATCGGATATTGTTACCGCGTTAAATATTATTATTCTCTTTTAATTTTTTTAGCGTCATTAGATCTTTTACGACATAATCTCATACGTCTTTCATTGTTTAATCAAGAAAATGAAGAAGACAAAAAAAAAGGAAAAACATGAGTTTGATTTCAATTTTCTAACGTCACCCGGCGTCTACCCCATGTCACCATTTTGTTGCAAAGCATGCTTGTTCGTTTCTTTACGATGCTGCATATATTAAATACACACAGTATATAATACATTCTTTTAAAAAAAGGCGTCAAATTTGGCGCGTTAAACGTCGTTTATTCATTGACCTTGGGATATACGAAAAAATAAAAGAAAATTATAATAATAATAATAATAATAATAATTTAATGTGTTACATCTCTTAATAATAGGAATGGGAATAGATAATAATAATACTATTTTATTTTTTTAATACGACTTTTTGATAATCAACGAAGTTGAAAAAGTAAGAGAGAGAAAAAGTGGTATGCAATAGCAAATATATTAAGCGAAAGAGAGAGGGAGAAAAAAAGACACGTGTTCTCGAGGATAAAAGAAGGCAATCTTGATCGAAAATTTTTTCTGTTTTTTTTTTTTTTTTTTATACAGTTAAAACGTCCTTGAACGATAATAAGCGAATGAACGAATAGAACGAGATGTTTCCGGCGAATTCACAATTTGGCGGCAATTTGATATGCGCAATGGCGAGAACGTAGCATAGCGCCGTGATTTTAGACAAACTGATGAAAGTGCGCATTAAAGGGGAGAATAAAGCAGAAGAAGAAGTCGTTAAGATAGATAGGTAAAAGAAAGAGAGAGAAAAAGAGTACGAGAGTACGAGAGAATAATTGACAGTCAGCTTTTTATTCATCATCGATGTGGCGCCGACAGAGCGGCGATCGGTACAACGACAAGTTGTTAGATGCGTCCGCACGAGAGGAGATTTATTTAATAATAAAAGAATAGAAGAACCACATTAAGAAAAGAAGTCATTTAAAGATTTCCTCATCCCTAATATTTCTCAGCTGGATCGCGTGGAAATACGAGGTTTCTTTCGAACGGCGATACACAACACATCGTGAAGAAAGAGAAGGAGTGCGCACTCGATAGAAAGAAAGAAAGACAGAAAGAGAAAGAGAGAGAGAGAGAGAAAGTAAGAAAGAGAGAGAGGGAAAGAGAGCGAGAGAGAGAGAGAAAGAGTTGACGGAGAGGACGAAGAACATAATCGTGGAGAGCGCGTACCGGCTGACTCTGGAGAGCAGCAGTTCTTCCTTGATTCCATTCGTTAAGACGCGAGATTCGAAAAGACGATGAGAGGAGCGTGCTGACGACAACGACGACGTCGCGCGTTAAAGATTCGGAAACTATGGCGAACATCGCGGCGCAGCGAATCAAACGGGAATTCAAAGAGGTTATAAAGAGCGAGGAGGTGAGTGGAGGAGGAACATCATCACCTCTTGGAACAACGCATACAAAACTTAAACGCATACACAGGGTTCGATCTCGAATCAATGAATGCGCTTAGGAGAAGAAGCGCTTTGAAGTTATGATATATGCGGCTGTTGCGTCTTTTCCTTTATCTTTCATTGTTTTCTCTTTATCTCACACATATCGTGTGCACGGTATAATAAAAGGAGATAGAAATAAGTAGATAGATAGGAAAAGATAGAAAGAGAGAGAGGGAGAGAGAGAGAGAGAGAGAAAAAGAGGGAGAACCGAATAAAAAAAGAGGATGTACTCAAAAGTTCTACTTCTACTTCTACTTCAACTTTTCGACTACTTTTACTTATTTGGACGAGTTGTGTTATGAATAAAGCGCGTAATCACCTGTTGTATTCAACGAATGCACAATTAAACGCTTGTCAGTCATTATATTATATGAGGACACGTTTTAATCCAAATGAACGTTAGAGTTTATCGCTAACTCTAAATATCAATTTCGTGCTTTTAAGCGAACAATCAGATAATCGTAAACTCGAATATATGCGAGAAAAATAATCTTCGAATAAAAATCGTATTTCCTTCGTGATATAGTTATATTCAAAAATACATATCTCTCGTCTTTCAACGCCTACGATATTTAATGTGGGCACGCTGTTGTGTTATGTAAAGTCGAAGTAACCGAATTATGTTCTTGCTGAGTCAGCAAAAATAGTAGTTTACGATCGATCCCGTTTTATGTATCATATCATATCATATTTTTTGGTTTAATAGTAGATAATGAGCCTGATGAAATTATACTAATAATCGACATTTTTATTATTTCTTTTTCTTTTCTCTCTCCTTTTTTGTTGAAATAAACATGAACGGATTAGAATAAATTCTACTTTTATTTTTATTGCTCTTTTCTGCATACCTGATTTGTCCTCTTCTTGTATACACTTTATTTCCTTAGTTACTCTATGCTTCTCCATCAGATCAACTTCTCTATTAAATTAATTTTCCAATAACAAATAGCTTCTACGTACTTGTGTATAAACAAAAAATAATTATAGCTTTACGAGAATTTTGTAATCATTATATATCATGTTGAAATTAAATCTTATCATTATAGGATATATTTTGTAATGCTTTCTCTTATCTTCTTCTCTTATCTCTTATCCTTCGGTTCAAGGGTTCAAGGATTCAAGGGTTATGAAAATACTATGTTATACATTTTCAATAGAATCTAATAACTCATTTGTTAACAACATGTAGAATGTTTATTTAGATAGGTCATTTAGTCTTGTTTGCTTAATGATACTTATCTGTCATATTGTGTAAACTTCTCATTTACATTTGCAATAATTTTAAAATGTAAACATGTTATTATTTATTTTTACCACAGCATGATTTATATCTTGTTTTCCTTTACTTTCAACTGTTTTTTCCTTTTCTTTAGTATAAAAATATTATTAATAATAATAATTCATGCAATTTGATCTCTTTTATCAAATGTTTTTAACAGAACATTTTATTACACATACAATTTTATTATCATGAATTTTCTTTTTATTATTCAAATTATTACATTGGTTTTTATATTTTGTTACAGGTTGCAAAGTGTGCAATCAAAGTCGAGTTGGTAAATGATAGCTTCACTGAATTAAAAGGGGAAATAGCTGGACCACCAGATACACCTTATGAAGGAGGTAATTTTGTACTTGAAATCAAAGTACCTGAGACGTATCCCTTCAATCCTCCTAAAGTAAGCACTTTGTAAGTTAATATGTTTTTAATATCTTGATCGTTTTTATGCGTGGTAATAATTATTATGCTATATTTAAATATTGTATATTGTAGTTTGCGTACATTAAAATTGATAATTTAACTATTTTTACTTAATTTAATTTGTTTTCTTTATAGGTTCGTTTTATAACAAAAATATGGCATCCCAACATATCTTCCGTCACAGGTGCTATTTGTTTGGATATATTAAAAGACCAATGGTATATAATTCTATCTTCTATGCCTATTAATCTATCATTCCAAAAATTTGATGTATAAATTAACTCACGGGTTTATATTTATAACATGAAATATATTTTTGATCATTATCTTTACATTCAAGGGCAGCTGCAATGACCTTACGAACAGTACTGCTGTCATTGCAAGCCTTGTTATCTGCGGCAGAGCCTGATGATCCTCAGGATGCAGTAGTAGCTAAACAATATAAAGAGCAGCCTGACATGTTTCGTCAAACTGCTAAACATTGGACATTTGTATATGCGGGTGGTATGAATATTCTTTCTTTTTCTTTTCTTTATTGCATTAACACAAGATAGAAGTTTATTTTATGTAAATGAATTATATATTAAATTTTTTATTAATGATTGTAGGTCCCGCAAAAATGCCCGAGCTAGATGAAAAAATAAGACGATTAACGGATATGGGAATCGAAGAACATAATGCAAGAGTTGCCCTTTCCTCGTATAACTGGGATTTGGAACGTGCCACCGAACAGCTCTTCAGTTAGTGATAACTGTACAGTTAATTCATTATACAAAGACCACTCATTTTGTCATTTAGGAACTTCTGTAACAACACACTCAACTAATTATACCATAGCAGTTTTTATAATCAAATTTAACTCCTTTTAATAACAATATTTCCACTATAAAAAAAAGCCCAAAAAGAAGAAGAAAGAAGAACATTCAATATATCTAATTTGATATCTTTGGTAGTTATCTGCTTGATTTATAAAACACAGGATTGGAAAGAAATTTAGCAAAAGAATATAAAGGCAAAATTTATAAGTAGCTATATATATCTCAAAGATAAGATTCACGAACAATAAATTTTAGTTTTTAATTTTAATTATTTCGACAGACCTCTGATAATGATGAGATTGTACTTTCCAAGAATATTTCTAACTGTTATGGAAATTCAGTAGTGTGTTCATCACGTCTTTATATATTCTTTTTTTTTTTTAATTATTTTTATATATATACATATATATATAGTTGTACAATGTTTGGAATGGTTGAGTGTGTATTTCTTTTTTTATTTTATGTTTAACGCAAAACAAACACATAAAAGTCTTCTTTTCTTCATTCTCTGTTCATAAATTCGATAGGTCAGAATATTACATATACCTTTTTCATATATATTTCGTTTTTTCTTTTTCTTTTTAGACCAGTAAAGAAAAAAAAATAAATTCTTCTAGGTACTGTATTGAAGTCTTTATGAACAGTGCCTAATATAATATCATTGATTTGTTATAGAAGTTAATGCACGGTACGATGCTTTTTATACAAGAGCATGTGTTAAGATAGAAAATATGTTTATTTTTTTTTATAATCTTCAATATTATTTTCCTACACTTCTTTTGTTAAAACCATACAGAAGTGTAATTGCGATTAGATTCGGAATGTATGTTACTGAAATAGATGAAAATTTAATAATGTTAGATTGTATTTATAAAAACGTTCATACACTTTAATACCATATTGTTAATATTTACATTTTGTACATTTCTGGTGTTGGGTTATGGACGATGACCTGATTCTTGATGATCACCTCATATGCACATAGAAATATTATTTTATATTCAAATTTAGTAATTGACATTCCAGACTCAGACTAACTGCATTTATATATTCATATTACTATTATTTTATTCAAAACTTATACAAAAAATATGCATTACAAAATTATATAAAATTTTGCTGTATGAAAAAGTATTATGCACATACATCGTAAATTTTCATACTATTTAGTTAAAAAAACAAATGTTTATTAAAGCAAATTTCTATGTTCCATGGGAAAAGAAGGTTAATTTATAAAAAATTTTTTTAAATTAATCTGATAAAGTTACTTACTATACAAGATGAAAAAAAAAAGTAAGAAAGAAAAAGAATAAAACAAAGAAATAAACAAATTTTATATTGTATATGAGAAAATATTAAATACGTAGTATATAATTGAATTTCTCTAATTTTTATGTAATATTGAGACAATTGTATCGAATATGATTCTCTTTTCAAACGCATGTCAATTCAATTAAACCAAAGTAAGAATCTTTGTTCAAGTAGATCTCTTATTTTTAATTTTTAACACGACTTACTTCCACTTTATATATACCGGGTGTCCTGTATATATATTTAAATTAGGAAAACAAAATATTAACAATTGATTAATTATATATCTTTTATCTTTATATTACCAAAATCTTTTTATTAAAAAAAGGTTGTAAACAATAATATAGGTAGAATACAATATTGTATAAAATAGGTATCAAAATACATATATATATTTATAGTTCCTCAGTAGAATCATAAGTTATTATTACATTCAAAGTAAATATTTACATGTAATATTTTAAAGTTATGTTCTTAATAGATAAAATATAATTAATCAGTACAAATAGATAGGAAAGTATCATTGTCAAAAGGAATAATGTCTGTACATTCTAAATTTTCTTGTAGAAAGGGTTGCTAAAAATATATTATCGTTAAATTTGAAAGAACACATATCTATGACTGAATCAGACACTGGAAGATTGTACACTTGATTCCCAGTTGTCATACTCCAGAATGGAATGCTATTAGTAGATTCTTGATGCGCTGCAATTAACGTGTCGTTTCCAATAGAAACTTGACAAGGCCGTGATAAAAGCCGTTGAGAATGTCCAGCATGAAACGTATGTATAACATTGCATAAGACCATATTATCATTTCCATTTTCAATAGTACATACAATATGTCTTGTTTGAGGTCTATGTTCGTTAGGGCGACAAGATATTAGAGCATGGTTATCTTTCTTATCATAACGTGCGGAAAAAAAAGGGCCAACTATATTCATTTCCTTGCATGTATATGCGGATTCTGTAAGTTCGTATGCGTTACAACTGTTTAAACGACATGCTATAAATCCACCTTTACTGATTCCATTTCCTAAATACGCTGGTACTGATGCTAAAGAAACAACAGGTGATCTATCATAACGACTCGTTAAATTATTAGCAGGACCACTCGTATTTCTAATATCATATTGTATTATTGATCCATTTTGAGCACCAGCAAAAAAAACATTAGCATCGTCGCCTGACCAGCAGCAACTCCATAACGTAAAATCTGTTTTATAAGAATGCATTATAACATTGGTACGCATATCAATTAATTTAGCAGTTTTATCAAAGCCAACACTTAAAAGCATATTCTGATTCGAAGGGTGAAAATTAATGTCTCTTATAGGTTGAGAATGAAGAAAAAGAAATTTTCTAGATAGAAAGGTTTCCACATCTATTCTTTTGACACCATATCCTGTAAATATGGGATTTTCTGATTTTTGCGAAACGACCAATAATCCATACCAAGAATTATAATCTAACACACGGCAACCATCCTCTTTACAAATATCTATAGATTGCTCAAGATGAAACTTATTGTTTGTATATTCGTCTTTCATGCAGTGACTCAAATCATTTTTAACGGTCTTTAATTGATTTTGTAAATCACTTATATAAGTTTTCATATTAGCCAATTGTTCTTCGTATACCTCTTTTTGTATTTTGTTAGACATTAATTGTGATTCAAGGTGATTGTTTTGAGTCTTTACAATTGACAATTGACTTTTCACTAATTCAAGTTCAACATTATCGATAGATACCAATTTCGTAGCATATAAATTCCTAATATCCTTTAAATTAGCTTTTATATTACATTGTGGACATCTTCTGTTAGAAGGTGTACAAGAAACTTGTAACCATTTTGTAACACAACTGCGTCCAAACAAATGTCCACAACGTAAACAGCACAAGCGATGATCTCCAGTTGCTGTCCATAAATCCATACAAATTGGACACGATTGATGGGAATCTTCTGTTATACTTTTATCATTATTATGTTCCAGAGATTTTTCTGTCGCAGAAGCTGTTTCACCTTAATTAAAAATAAAATTATATATACTATGTAGATAGAACAAATGTTCTCTTATATATGATAGAGAGAATTCTATATTTACATTTTGTAACTGGCTCATTACTTGTATTTTCGGTAATAGTGTCAGTGCTCGAATTATTTTCTTCGTTATTGAATGGTGATTCATTTTCTTCAACATTTATTACTTCAGGTGCATCACTTCCATCTTCTGATTCATCATCGTCTGTAAAAATAATAAAAAAATATCCTGATATATTTGCAATATTAAAAATTTTTTAATCTATGTTATTAGTTCTTTATTTTATTTTTTTTTTTTTCTTTCTTATTAAGAGTCACATTGACTTTATGGTCATCAGCAACTACTTAATTTTTTTTATATTTATGAATGAAATCATAGATTTATACTTAACTGTATTCCATATTTTCTTCCATTTTCTTGTTTTTTTAAGATATTATTATTTTATGTTATGGATTTGAAGTATTTATAATACTTTGAATAAATTATATAATCTTTGGATTCTTTTAAAACATAATATTTAGTAATATGTATTAGCATTTATATTTTGGTATAGTTTGTATATATTATTAAGTATTTGATTATCCTTAACGATCCTCGATTTGATTTAATGATATAAAATATTTGTTTTCTTTTAATTATCCTAATACAAAATAGTCTTTTATTATATCAACCATTTTATATGAAAAAAATATAACCAAGAAAGAGACTAGATTTATTAAGTATAAATCGAGCTGCGACTACAGCGCCAGTAGTATCAAATTTTCAAACGAAAAAATTGGAATCATTCGATTTCAAACATATTAAAATAATTTTCATAGAAGGATTTATATAAATCTTTTTATATATTTTATATATATAAGATGTATAGATTGAATTAATTAATTTAACTTTTATATAATAAAAATTGTTATTTATTATTAGGGATAATTCTGAAAGATTAGGCAAATATTTTGTCACTAACAAGAAATTGAATGTTCAAAACTTATTAAAATGTAATAGTATCACTAATTCTACATTATCTTATTAATTTTATATTTATTAAGGTAATATTAATTTTTGTTATTGATATATGATTATATTACCTTACTTACAATTACTATAATTATAATATTTGTGTAAAACTATATTGTGATAAATATTTTCTTGTTACTTGTATCATAGTTACAATAGCTGCATTCAAATAATACGTTTCTAATCGATTGAAACTATTGACAGATAAAAGATGATCGTAACGTGTTTATATTTTTTCAATTACAGTCTCTCTAAAGTGAGTGACACGTTAAAATTTTATTTTTCCTCAATAAAATAATTTTAAGAAATTAATAATAATAATATTAAAATATTTTGTTTCAGCTTCGGTTTTTAAGACGTCAAAAATTGTTCGCCGCTATTTGATATCAACACCGAGTCCTCGTTAAAAATAATAAATAAAATACAACGAACACATAATAAATATTTTATATATTAGACAAGAATTTAAAGGAATTGTACGAAGAACGGTGTTGTTACGAAGGTAAAAGAATGAAGGTAAAAATTACGAGTACACGTAGTTGCAAAAGCGCGGATTTATTTTTATTATTTTATAATGAACGCAACAAAAGGAAAGGCTATTCAATTTTTGTCGATTAATCTCACTATTATTTATTGTAAATATTAAATATTAAATTATTGTTATATTATACAAAATAATGAGAATTAAATAATTAATTTTAGACGCGACGGCTGTGTTCATTGAATCATTTAAATTCACCAAAAAATTCTACAACATCTATTCACGGATCTGATTTAGAAAAGTCTATAAAAAATAATAAAAAATTGTTTGACATAAAACGTCGACGTTTACAACGAGGAAAACTTCAAAAAAGTAACGGAGAGCATGGAAATGATTCGTGCTTAAAAAGAGATACATTTGCATCTTTGGAATCTTTATTTGATATAAAAAAACCTTTACATTTATCTAAAATAAATTTAGTTCAAATTCAGCAATATAAGAAAAATATCGTTTTTGAAAAACAAAATCTTAAAGACGTGAAACATTTGGAGGGAGATTCAATTTCAAAAACTACCGAATTATTTACGAATATTACAAATATTTCAAAAGAGGTATAATATTTTTTTATATAAACATGTAAATATTAATGATGAAAAATTCATTTGAATTTTTCTTTTAGAAAATTGAAGAAGACAATTTTATTACAAATAATACGTTAGAAGAAAGTGGAGAATCGAACGTAAATTCACACGAAATAAATCATTCAAATGAAAAAGATTTATTGAAGTAAGAAAATAATAAAATTCTTAAGAAAAATTTGATGTATAAAAATAACACATTTTTATTTGATATTTTTTATTGATAGTAACCCTATCGAGCAGGAAAATCAGTTAAATAAAAAAATGGCAGATGAATCTATAGAAGTATTGCAAGAAGAAGAAGAAGAGAATGTTGAAGAAATACAAACTGATACCGAAAAAGCACCGAAAGAAGATGATAAGCCTTCTCCACCATCTTATCCAATACCAGCTGGTGCTGGAGAGGGTGCATTAAATTTATTTCCTTATTTTTTTTCTTTTCTTTAAATAAAAATATATTGGAAGATTTTTTAACAGTTTCATCAAATAAATCAGGTGTACCAGTTCAAGCTGGAAGACGACGCGAGTCCGTGTTAAGTGCTTCACCTTTAGCGGAAGAATCCGTGATAGCAGAATTGAAAGCAGCAGATGAAAGATGTAAAGTAGTTGCAGACGAAATTAAAAAATTAAAAGAAGAAATGCTTCAGCTTGTTGATGTAAATATTATTTTTTTTAAATCTTGTAGTATCGTATTTTAGTTATCTTGTTTAACATGTAATTTCTTTGTAGAAAAAAGAATTGACAGACGAGGATACAATAGTGATTCAAAAAAAGCAAGAGGATTTAATGTCAAAGTTGGCTGAGTTTGAAGAAATGACACGAAAGTTACAGAGACTGTTAGGATTAACTGATCCTACTAGCGAAACATTTTCTAAAATGTTCGGCTTGTTAACTTTTCCGCATACAAAATCAATCGATGTAAGATTTATTATTGGTTATTTTTTTTTTTTTTTAACGTTTGAAGAAATTCTTTAAAAATACCCCAGTTAATTGATTAATGCCAGAGTAATATAGGATTTTTATTTACTAATAACTTATATCCATACAATTTTTTATTAATTCTTTTACGCATAAAAATGATGTGATTTTCGAATAATTTTAAAATATTTATTGTACACAGGGTGCTGGAGAAGAGATCGAAATTTTACCAGTTGAGAAAACTAAAGATGATAAAGAAAAACCCAAAGTAGAATTGGCGCCTGTGATAGACGATCAGTTTGATTTACCTCAACCAGAATATCAAGAAGACAAGTAAATTAAAAATAATATATGAATTCTGTAATATGATATATTTACATTTATATATTATATATTTAAAGGCTTCCAAGAGTGATCGTCTGTGGTTACACAGAAGACGAAATGCCAAAGATTGTGATAGCAGACGGTGAACGAGGAGGAAAGAAAGAATGTTTGCAAAATTTAACAGGAAAATTGACTGAATCCTTGACTATGCAAGAAAAATTAGTTAAAGAGAATGCACAACTCGAAGGTGGAAAGTACGTTTATAAAGAATAATTATAATTAATTTTAAATAATATAAACACATTAGAATTAAAATTAGTAATAAAAAATCGATTTCATATCGAAACAATCGAAGAATAAACAAAGAAATTATATAAGAAGTTAATTAATTGCCGTGGCAACAAACTGTCAATGTTTTTATTCAACGAATGTCGCAAGACGTACTTTTTAAGCTCGACGAATTCCGTATGATCATTTACAGCTTTATGACACAATTTCTTTAAAGATGGATGCATTTTATCCATAATTTGTAACGTGAAAATCGTATTTATGTGTATACCATTCTTGACAAAAATTTCGTCTATCTTTTTTGGGAATACATTTGTAGATACGAATTGGAAGAAGCATTATTGGAGAAAGATACAGCTGTTGAATGTCTTCAACGGAAGGTATGCGGATTGCAAGCTGAAATACGTTTAATGGTGAAGGAGAATACGGAATTAAATCGTCGATTGGCTTGTTTAAATCAACGTATCACTACTCCTACTTGCTGTTACACCCATACGGAACGTAGGTCATCTTGTTCACCACCAACAGTTTCATCTTTACCAGCATATTCGCAAGTTACTTCATCGCTGCCGGATCAGGGTTGTTGCCAGTGCAAATATTGCGTTACTTACGATAGTCCTGTTCAATCGCCTACTTCTATATGCGGTAAAAAATATAAAGCCTACTCTTTTTATTTTGTATACGTTTTATAAAAATATTTGTTAATTAATTGATTTATTTGTTTCTTCAGTGAATTCGCACAGCCGCAAGACTTCAAACGATTGTAGTAAGAATATTTTATCAAATCTTACTTTGTTCTTACAGAAATAAAAAATTATACTAATAAAAAGTTTTTTTTTTTAATATTAGGATCATCCAGATTAGCAGGTGGTGCATCGAGAACAGGCAACTGTATTTTGAGTAGAAGTTCATCACAAACCGAAGAAATGTGTTTCCGTAATCCAGCAGTTTGTCCTAAAGCCTGCCCCGAGCCAACACCTAGAGGTGTTTGTCCAGCCGAATTGGAGAACAAGTTTACCATTTATGGGAACAATACGAAACAATTGGTACTGTTCTTTCTTTCGTATTTCGTATCTTAAGTTTTTGTTTGTTATGGTTTAATTTTTATGAACTATTCGTATACAGGCACAACAGTTAGGTAGCATGGAGTGTGAAGTACGAAATATGCAAATAGAATTAGCGAATGTTCAACGAGAACGTCAACAATTGGAACAACAACGCAAGTTGCTTAAATGTTCTGGACCCTGTGCACCATGTGCCTGCTGCCCTCCACCACCACCACCACCACCTTGTGGTGGTCTTCCACCTTCTATGATTTCAAGTTACATTCCAAGTACTCAATTACCTCTCCCAATTTCTCCATCATCTGCAAATGGAAACGTTCCACTCATGCCTATGCCAAAGGTATTTTCAACGCGTTTCTTGTTTATAATATTCATTTGATAAGAATGATTATATTTAACTATTAAGTTTTTGAGTTGGGTAATCATATAATGTTCGATATAAATAAATACAGCTCTGAAGACATTTACGCTCGTTTTTGGTCAGGCGCAGATCAGTCAACAATCCACGTCTGCTATGTGTACTGGACCCTGTATAACAGCACCAATGGTAAGGATCACTCGGCAAGATTCAAAATAATTTTAGGTGTGATCCTTATTACTTTTTTTTTATTTCATTAGGGTGCAAGCACTTGCCCTCAACAACAATTACGTGATTTACGAGAACAATACGCACGTCTTCAAGATGATTACAAGAATAAATTATGCGAAGTATCTTGTCTTAGAACCGACATGGAAAAAATGAAACAAGAAGTCCGAGACTCGAAAGAAGATAAGGAAAGAATGGAAATAAAATTGATAGACACGCAGGAACGTTTGAAATCTTTAGAAGCCGAAAGAGAGAAATTCGAAGGTAATCGTTTTAAATAAACATTTAATGCTTTTATATGTACATGTACGAAGTTAATAATTTTAAATTTATAAATTAGGACAAAAAGAACAGATGATGGAGCAAGAACAAGCATTGATAATGGCCAAGCAACGTTTTGGAAAAGCACAGGACGAATTGGAAGAATTACGATCATTGATTCAAGATCAAGCTGCTCAATTAGAGGATTATCGCAATAAATATTTACAAGTTCGTTCGATGAAATTTAATATTTATTTTATTCATATTTTCCTTTGATCGACTAGATAAATTAAAAATTTCACGATAACTTATTTTAGGCTCAGCAACAGGTTGAGGAACAACGTCGACAACTCGATCTCATGGAGATGGATAATGCAAGAATGAATGAAAATGTAACATTAGAAATTGGAAGGGTCAAAGTAAATTAATTTTCATTATTATTTATTAATTAAAAATAATATTGATTGAAAATGAAGTTAATTTTACTATGAATTTGTAACAGAATCAATTTCAAGAAAAACTCGCGGAACTCGCACCTTTGCCAGACATCTTGAAACAAACACAAATGAAACTTCAAGAAGCTCAACAAATGAGATTAGTAGCCGAACGTAATTGCGAGGATCTTTCGCGAGAACTTTTAGGATGTAAAGATAAGATTCAAACGTTGCAAAGTCAATTGGACGCGCTACGTAACGAACATCAAACATTACAAGTAAGTTTAAGTATTCCTAAGATTAAACAATTAAAACACATGGACTTATTCGTTCGATTTTATTTTAGGAGGAAAGAGGACTTGGTACGGGACGATTCGATGAGTTAGAAAAGAAGAATGCTGAATTAAGACATGACAATGAACGTATGAGAAATACACTTGCTAGATTCGAGGAACACGAAGCACAATTGCAGAAACGTATAGATGAAAAAATGCATGAAATAACACAATTAACTGCAATGCTCGAACAAGTAAAATGGGAGAGAAAGATGGGGGAACCATATTTTAGTTTGAAAATATGTTATTTTTTCTGTTTTTTTTTTTCTTCTGATGTTTACAATATCTTCTTGAAGGTGAGAGAAGACAGTGCAAGACAAGTGGCACGTACCAAAGAAAGATGCGAAACAGTGAGACGAACAATGCAAGGTCAAATAGCTGAGATGGAAAGACAACTAGCTCAGTGTAGAGCGACAGCTAGAGCAGCACAGAAAGATAGAGACGAGGTAATCATTTCTTTCTCTTCTGAACTCATACATATTTTTATTTAATATACGTTCATCGAAATGAAATATTTGTATTCTTATACGATACAGATTAGGCAAAAGATGCAAAGTCAGATAAACAATTTAAACGAGGCTTTTGAACAAGCTCAAGGCCGTATTAGATCATTACAAGGACACGTGAATTATTTAAAAACTTCGTACAGTAATGTTTTTAAAGGACAAGGAGAGAGTCCTGTTGGTTTGCCAGGAGACGGTACGCTAGGTGCGGGGTACGATTCTTGCGACTGCAATTATTAATTGATAATGTCATATATTTTTAGCATTTTTACATGCTCTTGAACATTTTTAAACGGTATTTATTAAAATAGAGCTACTATATTTTTTTTCTACTTGTATCGTGAGATAGATAATTTTAAATCAATCGTGACTTATTCGTATTCGAAATATTTTTGAAAATTTTGGAAGACATTCAAAGAAACACAAGCGATTCATTTGATCATCAAGAACGTAACAGTGGATTTGTAAAAAAAAGAAGGGAAGCATTTTATAAGTTTGTTTTGAACCATGTATATTTATTCAATAAATCGACCATGTATTTTCTTTTTATATTATCAATGAAGTTAGATGATGAAAACAAGAAAATATTCGTATATAAAATAAGACGAATTATGAAATAAGAAAGAAAAATATTATTTACAAAGGAAAGGGCATATGTATCTAATGTTATTTAAAACTGTATCAGTTCATTTCAACAGAATGAAGCATGTTGAGTAAATTTAATATAGCATCGGAACGTAAACGTACTCGTTCCATTTCCATACGAAATTCTTCCAGTTGAGATTCGATACGCCGTGTATACGCGTGACAACACCTGTAAGTAAAGAAAGATTAATTAATTATTATTTTATAATATTTATTTTATTTATTTTTTGTAATAATTATTTTTAATTCCTGCGAAGAGGTGAAGAGGATACAAGAAAAAAATCTAAAATACATATACAAACAAATAATTTTTACCTTCTATTAGATTGTTGTGCATTTGAATAACCAGCTTCTGGTGAACAACTAGACGTGACGTTAATTTGTGGAGAACAATTAATCAAATGTGATGTGTCTTTCTCATTAGAAGAACATCTTTTAGATGAACTTGGTGTTCCATTGCGATAATCTCCACAACTTTTTAAAAGATCCATTAAAATTCCTCTTACTTTCTTACCGCTGGATCTTCGTTGTCTAACCTGAGTAATATAGAAAATGATTTAGTTCATTTATTTATTTTCATATATAATTAATCATATATAATATTAAAAATATTTAGGAAATATTACATGGTAAATATTGAATTTTTCTTACTTCAGGTGTTTCGCGAGTTCTTTCTGGAATTAATATATCATCGTTATTGTCCGCTGGATTATGATTACAAAAATTTTCGTCACAGTTATCGTGATTAGCTATACATCCTAACATCGATTTGCATGTGTGTGATGTTTCTCTAATCGTGTTACAGCATTTCATATCATTCTGAAAATTCGCCTCTGTATTATGTAAGGAAGATCGACGACTCGTAGTTCGATGCTTACATATCACTTCTTTGTCATCGACTGAATTAGTATTTTCGTATAAATCTTTTTTACTATCTGACGTATTTCTAGATGGGAATTTATTTTCCGTGCAACAACCATCTTTAATGTAATTTCGACTATCGTTATTACATTTTAGTCTTTCACAATCACATACATATTTATAATCTCTTTCTAAATGCTCTATTGAATGTAAACAACAGGAATGTGATTTTTCATGTAGATTATTAACGTGTCGTTTGTGTATCGAACATTCTTTCTGTTGATTTAGTAAGATACACTTTTCACAGGAAGCAGGGATACTTGGACTCAATAAGTTATCTACATACATTTTTGCGTCCGGTACATTCAAGTATTGATTTGAAGTGTGCCCTTCGTTAAATTTAGATTGTAACTTTACTTTTTTATTTGTCGAAGATACTATTTGACTACCTTTAAATTTTCTATGTGGTGTTATAGCAGTATTCAGCAAACAAGCACACTTTTTATTGATGCAAGGTGATCTTGTTGCTTCTAACTCTTCTTCCTCGACCATTGATGTTTCACTTATCTGTAAGTATTGTTTTTTTAATGAATGATTAGATCAATTTTCATGGTTGTTTAAAAAGTAGAAAAGTTCAAGTATTTATACTTGCCTCTTTGCCCCAAATGTTGATTGTACCATTTACTTCAGACATACGTACTTCTACATTACCAAGCAAATATGGTCCACATTCTCGTATACAACCCATACTAGCTGGTTCATCGCTAGGTACTTCTGCTTGTATTAAAATACTTCGGTCGTTAGTATTTTCATCTTCTTGATATACAAAACATTTCACATTGCTATTTTCGTTTTCAATGTCTTCAGCTTTATCATTCTTGTCATCTATGGTTGTTGGACTAGCTGAACGACTAATATTATTCATTCTATTCTTTTGTGTATCTAATTTCACATCGCTATAATTATCCGATGGTTTGAAATCTACATTAAAATCAGAAACAGTCATACTTGATTTTTTTTTAAATTCTTCTATACGCGGCATTTTTAATGGTTGTAAATTTAATGAATTACCAAGCATTTCAGTCGCTTTCCTCTTTTTTGCATTGAATGGTGATTTTACTGTGAAAGTATTAGAACCGGCTATTATTGAACCATTGCTTTCTTCACTTCCACTTGATCTTTTAATAGAACTATGATTTAGAGAAGATTTTGGATCAAGCTTAGACTTTCCTTGTGTTAGATTTGAAAGCGTTTTTAATATTCTAGAAGATGTGATGAATGCTTGAGACAGAGGACGGTTAACTTTCCTTGGCGAATTTTCTGCTATTACTGAATTATCCTCTGAATTTAATATCGTCCCCAAATCTGGCGGTTTAAGTGATATACCTGAACTACCAGTACTATCAGTCCACTGATTTATAGAGCTGGCCGTAGATATAATACTACTGGCAGATAATTTGTTAGCTGTTTCTTTTGTATCAGTAGTTTCCTTATTTTGAGTTACTGATTCCTCAATTACATCAGTTTGTACTGCTACGACTTTTGTTTCGCATGTTCGATTTTCTTTATTGTACTTTGCTAGAGAATTTTTTAATTCTTCTAATTCTTGTTTCATCTTCAAATTCTCCATCAGCGTGCTTTGATATACTTCTTTTAAATTATTGAATTGAATTGTTTTTTGATCTAACTGTGTCTTCAATAACGTCAATTGCATTATATCCGAATTACTTTTGTTACTTTCTTCATTCATTTTTCCAAATTTCGAATTATCTGTATTATCTTTAGATTCTTCTGACATTACCCTTATACTCTTAACATTTTCTATTTTTAAGGAACAAACAGCATTACTATTGTCAGTTTCAACAGTGTTTATAACATCTATGTCGCTGTAAGCTTGAATATCATTATTTTCATTTTGTTCGTTATTTAGATTCTTATTCAACTGTTCGTCTTGGGAAAAATTCTCGTTACCGTGCATATATTCGTCATAAGACAACGTACGAAGATTATAAACATTTAATTGTTGTTGATGACCATTAACTAAAGTTTCGTTTGTGTATTTCAAATTTTTTTGATTAATGGACTGATTGTAGTTATGATTATGGACATTAATTTGTATTGAACCATTAAGTTTTTCATTTTGTTTCTCTGTATTTAAAAACTCTTTTTCTCTTATACCCATGTTAATAGATTTCCCATCTCGTTTATGTTTAATTACTATTTCCTCATCGTCATCATCATCATCCTCTTCTTCTTCTTCCTCTTCTTCTTCTTCACCATTTTCTGTTATTGGCCTCATATATAGATCTTTTTCATTTGTATATGACTCTTCAATTTCTAAATCTTTAATAGCTCTTTCCGCGTAAGGCCTTATAACTTTATTAGGTATTACACCTTTCAATTGTACATCACCAACTAAATAATAGAACGTATATAAGAGATTTTATGTATTTTATATTATATTATTTTTTGCTTATAAATAAAAATTAATTTACCTGTTACGTCGGTACAATTTCTATCCGTTTCAAGTTCATTTTGATATTCATTTCTTATACCTGTTTCTATAGAATACCTTTGTTGTTCTTTTATATCGTTTATGTAACGTTTTACTTTGTTTTCTACGAAAATCTTTGAATTGAATCTAAACATATCAAACTCTTGTTATATGATATAATAAAACTTTAGCACAAAGTATTAAAAGAATAATATTTAAAAATACTCAACCTATTTTTTCGAAATCCAAGATTGCAAGAATTATTCTCTAGGGTGTTTAAATCTTGCAGAGATTGACTCTTATCCCTATATCTTCTTTTCAATTTACTTCTAAGGCCTAAACATTCGGATGAAGTTTCAAAGATATTTCTTTGATACTCCTCATCATCATCTTCTTCTAAGTCTTCTTCTTCGTCATCATCCATATCATTGTCGTGATCATTTTCATCTATATCTGCATATAAAAAAAAAGAAAGAAAGAGAGAAAGAGAGAGAAAGAGAGAGAGTGTGTGTTAATGTAAGAGAAAGAAAATATAAATATAAGTACGTATAGAAAGAATGTGTGTAACATTTATATTACCATCGCTATCACCGCAGTCAACATCATCCTCATCGTAATGTTGATCTGTTTCTTCTTCGGATGAGAGAACATAAACACTAGCAGGACCTTCTTGTTCACTATTACAAGGACTACCTGATTGTTCTTTTGTAGGAGAATCTTCTTCATGATGCTTCACATTACTAACATCTGAATCTTCGCATTTGGATGAAGTTGAAACACTAATGTAAGTAGGCATTTCCTCATCCTCTAACATTGGTGTTTCCGAATCTACCATTATCATAGCATCTTCGCTTTTCGGCTGATTTTCATCTGATTCTTCTTTCTCCATCTGATTGATCATTTCAACATTGCTTGAAGTACGTTTCTTCTGATCTGACATGTCTAAAGTAGTTATAGGATGGTTAGTATTATTATAAATATTCTTTTAAAGATGGTTGTTGTTAACCATTGGTAGATAAGGCAGTATTAGGCGCACTTTGATAATATTCCTCGAAAGAATCCAAATTAATTGTATAGATAGTTGTACGCGAATCTATTCTTCTGTCCGCCATCTTAAACTCGCCTTCTCTCAACGAGCGAGTCTAAATGTTGGAATATATTGCGTTCTCTGTGATATGGTTGTGTGTGTGTATTATATATATGTATGTACATTACACAAGAGAGAAAGAGAGAGAGAAAGAGACAGAAAATTTACTTCGAATAGAATTTTAAATTATAATTATACTTGTTACCATATATTTTCGTTTTCCATTATAAACACGTAAAAAATCATTAACTTATTTTTACTATAATTGGACCTTTTGTTAATTTATGAATGTTATTAATAAATTTCGACGAAAATATTTACATGTCGAGCGTCTCCGACGGGACTAATGACCGGCATACTGTAACAGGGCTGTACGTATGTTCATATAATACATGTACATTTGATCATTTAAAAAATATAATAAATATTTTTTAAAATTAGAGACAAATTTGATTAAAAAATTAATATTTATAATTAAATAATAAAAATTAAAAAATGCACTGGCTATATTTTTTTATAATAAATAATATGTCATATTAAATCGAAATGTATTTATAAATTTTAAAAGTTTCTGTATTAGACGCTACTGCAGTTCGAATTCCGAACGAAGGAACGTTCCTCTCCATTAAATATCCGATGCCGTATGCGCGTGCGCGCCTGGTTTACGGAGCATGCAAACGAAAAGTGTAAATCCAGAAAATTGTAAAAGAAGAGAATAAAATAAAAGAAGATTAAAAAAAAATGCCTTCCGAAGATAAAACTTTTCCGATAACAATACAATTCGGGTAAATACCACCAAACAATTAAAAAGAGAAAGAGAGAGAGAGAGAGAAAGAGAGATATTGATACAAATAAAAAGAAATATTGATATTTATCAATTATTTTATAGAAAATTGCAACTACTGAACACTGTTTACACATTCACATATTTTACTACCTACAATAATAAAACTGTAAATAACTATTTCAATAAAAATTATTCTTTTACAGAGGTGGAGCTGAGACATTGTTCGATAAGAAAAAAATACACAAGGTTAACTTACCTGATGACGCATGTAAGGTTATATTCACTGTTTTTTTTTGTCAATTAATAAATAGATCTTTTCCTTAAACAATAATAACACTATATCTTATAGGGACATTGAAAAAATTATTATATTGGATTAAAGATAATCTCTTGAAAGAACGATTGGATCTTTTTATGCAAGAAGACACCGTGTAAGTATACACCGTTATAGTAAATTTTATTCTATATATTTTTTTTTTGCTTTTTTTTCATTTGTTTCATACACATCGATTTTTTTTTTAATTTTAATTGACATTTATTAACATTAAATACAAAACGTTACAATAATTCACACAATATTTTGTTAATTTCACTTTCATATTTTACTGTGTACAATGGACACGTTCACATTTTATCATGACATCGGCCTTTTGTCTAGTTCCAGTTTGTTCCGCTAGGCAGTGTCACTTATCAATTTGGTGGGAGAACGCGGTAAAATATGATAGTGATTAGACGGCGTTTTCGTAGTGCTCAGTAATGTGAATGTTTGTATTGTGTCAGCTGAAATTAAAACGTTATTCAATTTTTCAGACGACCAGGAATTCTTGTTCTTGTTAACGACACAGATTGGGAATTATTGGTGAGTTTTATTAGGTTATATTTTATATAATCGTATATACATACGATTATTATTAATAATTAAATATTTACATACATCGATTTTATTCTTTTCTTCTAGCATTCTAATCATTCTCTCGTATAATTTGTTAAATAATTTTAAATGTATACTTTTGTTAAGATTGTTTTATTTCCTTTTTTTTTGATATAAAATTAAACAGAAAAGAGGGCTAAGTCGTATTACTGTGCGAGAAGTTCGTAGGCAGTTAATCAATTTCGTCGCTAGATGGCTGCAGGTATACAAGTCAGGGACCGAGTAGTTTATCATTGACATTCAGTATCGAAGATCGCACTTTACAGGCATCTACACTTATCAACATCGCGTTAGAGGCTTTCGAACAGAACTAAAGATCTTATTAAAATATAATCAATGATATTATTACCAACATGCACAACGTATACTTCACGAAATAGTTCGAGGAAAGAACATATCTTTTAAAAAGTAAGATCTTTTAAGATACATATGAATTTATTTTCCATCCCATTTAATATTGTAACGGAGTTAGGGAAACATCAGACACATTCACGAGGGATCTTGAATACCGTTTACAACCCCCTTCATCCCATTCCATACCCTTCACTACCCTTTCCTCTTTCTTTTTTTCAAAAAAGGGCGCAAATCATCTTGGCTCGCTACACCCGTAAGAAAATTATCATTTTAAATTTGTAAATGTGTAGGCTGGGAGGCGCTATTAAAGCTCGTTGCTACTTTTAAAGGGAAGTAAGGGGGGGGGGGTAGGAAGAAGAGAACCAAAAAGCAGACGGGAGAAGGATGATGGGTTCGGCCATTATTATGATAATACCAACGTTTCGCAAAGCTTCTCTCGCACACTTCGACTCCCACGTCTCTTTGTCTCGTTTACTCCTCTCACCGCTTTTACTCTACTTCTTCTTTTTCTAGATCTATATCTATATGTCTATATTTTTCTCATACATATACACATAAATACTTACATACATGTAGAAAGATATATAGCAAGCTAGTTCTTTTATCCTCATCTTTTCCTTTTTAAATGCTTCTTCATCTTATATGCGAGATCTTTTCTCCAAGTTCCTTCTTCACTTTATTTTACTTTACTTTGCTTACTCGTCAGGATCAATTCGTAAATTTTAAAGGGAATCGCTTTCGTTGGTATTTATGGGATGTTTATTGTAATCTATCTTCTCTTGTCCAGTTAGATTTAAGTTCATGAAAAATATTCTATTTCTAAGTTAGATCAGCGTATTTGTGATTTACTTTCTATTAATGAGATTCTTCGTAATACGGAGGAATATTTATTATAGGTGGAATATTTATATATGGAATATTTATTACAGGGTCAAGGAGATTATGTTTTACAACCAAACGACAACGTTTTCTTCATATCGACGTTACACGGTGGTTAAAATGTTAGAAAGGACATCACTCTTTCTACTGCCATTGCTTGTTGATGGAAGTAAGTGAAGTATTCTAGAAGGAGATGATCATTTGTAATTACAAAACTAACAATCTCGAAAGAGTTTATTATTATTATTTTAATAATAAGATCAAGTTACATCGATAATAAAGTTATTTTTATAAATATGCAATCGAAGTATATACGACGAGTGATTATCGAAACCTATTACTTTATTCTTACATCTTTTTTATTTATTTTCAAAATTACAAAATTCTCAGAAGAGAAAAACGTACATTTATAATACTTACATCATCGATCTTTTTAGCAAGGAAGTATTAAGGACCTTTGAAAAAAAAAAAATAAAGAAGAAAAAAAAGTAAAAAAATGTTCTTATACTCTAAAAAGTTTGTGGTTTGGTCCCTTTGATCGCAGGTAGATTTTTGTCGCAAGACTACGGCATTTGGCAAGCTCTTTAAGGCGAACGTGCTGGAAGGGTGTACGTACCATCGTAATCATCGTTGTTTGGCATGTGCATTCGAATAGAAATCCGTCGAAGAGAGAAGTTTCGAATGGAATAAAACTCGCGCGCGCATGCTTTATTTTATTCTTTTCAAAAGGGAAGAGAGAGAGAGAGAGAGAGAGAGAGAGAGAGAGAGAGAATGTGGGAGGGTAAGAGTGAGAAAGAAACTCGCAAAGTTTGTTCTCTCTCTCTCTCTCTCTCTTCTTTCTCTTCTATTTTAGAAAGAGAAACGTTCTGGTTCGCGCGACGTACAACGTTCAGGATAAGTTTCTCGTAATGACTATAATACAACGGCCAACACTTTGGCTGGTCTCCAAGGATTCTCGCCACGATCACTCTTTCCCCTACTTTTACCCTCACTTATTTCGTCTCTGGAACTCCGGCACCGCGAGCACAACGTCCGGGTACTTAGTACCACCCTCTCTCTACTACTACAACCCCCGAACCCACTCCAACTCCTCCCCTTCCGTCCCCCGTACGCGATACCACCTCCTAGTACTCTTCTTCCTACTTTACTTTGTGGCATGCTGGGCTTTACATATATTACGTTACAATTAACATTGCTGAGACTTTTGCCGAGTTTTGTCACTTTTCTTCACCTTTACCAGTAGACACCGATTATTATGAAATGAAATGATTTAAATTTATTTTGAAAAATGTTCAAACAAGGTGAATAAAATAAGTTAGATAGATTAATCAAAAATATTACATCGCAATTTGTCTAGTAAAGATATTAAACTGAAGATAGAAAGAGAAAGAAAGAATAAATATTTATTAAATCAATTTTGTGATGGAAAAAAAGGAGAGATGAGATCATTTGTAAGTATGTAAAATATGATAATATTTTATAATAATAAAAAAAAAAGAATTTATAAAAATGAAAATAACATATTAATAAGAAAAAGGAGACATAAAAAAATATACATAGATAGATAGAAGAAATTATTTTATCATGCTAAAGTAAAATACGAGAGATACTATCCATATAAAATATAATAGATAGAGTAAAAAAAAAAAACAAAGAGAGAGAGAGAGAGAGATTGAAGAGAGAAGTTTTAATTATAACATGATAATTTATTATAAAAAAAAATCAAGATATTTTATGAAAATAATGTATAAGAAAATAAATGTGAAATGTAGTTAAAAAAAAAAGAGACGTAGATAGAGAAAGATAGAATATAAGAGAGAAAGAGAGAAAGAAACGTGCTTTATCTGGTATGCGTGGAAAACTTGGCTCGTTAATTAACCGCTCGAAAGAAGGAATTTCTAATGGGACAGGCAAGTACCTCTCTCGGTTCTTTTCTTTACCTCTTTTAGCCCTTTTTACCGATTCGTTTTTAATCGGTTTTTAGTGAACCAAAGCAATCTGGCACATTCTTTTTCTCTCTCTCTTTCTCTTTATTTTTTCTTTTTCTTTTTTTATAAATACAATACATCAATCACGTCGTCATTACACGATATGTAACACAGCTGGCACATCGAAAAGGGTAATGCTCTGCAATCGTTCCATCAAGCTTTACCTATTCGCTCATGTGTTTATTCGGTGATTCTGGAAATGCGTTGGTACGTGCTTTCAACGGTATACTCCGAACGTAGAAGAACGTGAGACCTGTAACGTACCAGCATCCACGTTTAATCCGGCCTAGCTAGAGAGACCTTCCGTAACTAGCAGTATTATATTCTCTTTTCTTTCCCCTTTCTCTCTCTCTCTCTCTCTCTCACTCTTACTCCCTTTTTTTATCTTTTCTATCTTTATATATTTTCCCTTTCTCTCTCTCTATTTAAATTTCTCTTTCTCTCTCTCTCTCTCTCTCTCTTTATCTATCTTTTTTTCTTTTTCTCTCGATTTTTCTTTTAATCTATCTTTTTTATCCAAATCTTTATCTTTTTATTCATCTTTTTTTTTTATCATTCTTTTTTTCTCACCTTATCTCTTAATCTCTCTCTCTTTATTTCGTTCTCTTTTTATTGCGCTCTATTTCTCTTTCTCTTTCTCTTTTTCGATGACTTTTTTTTTCACTTTATTCTTTTCACTCTTGTTAAAGTTTTGTTTGAATTATTAAAGATAATGTTCTTTACATTGCTTTTCTACATTATCTCATTATCATCTCTCCCTCTTTCTCTATCTGTCTTTTTCTTTGCCCTCTTTTATTTATGTAAATAACCATCCTAAGGGGATCATTTTAAACGATATTATAGATGAATTAAGTCGAAACAAAGAACAGATACAGAAATACCGTTTTCAAACGTTATGACGTTTATTTGACACGTGCTACGAACTTGCTGGACCAAATACCACGTTTCATTCTTGATCATTTGAAAGCCTTAAAATTGAAACGTGTTTCGATTAATTCTTGTTTATTCAATTCATTCGTCTTATATTCTTTTATTATTTGATTTATTTTTATTAGAAAATCTTCTTAATATAATTTTATTCTGTAATGTTTCTCGATTGTGCCGATCAGTTTGCAAAAAATATTTTTATTTTTTTTCAAACACAATTTATCTTTTTTAAAATTCATAAAAAGGTATCCAAGTGGTACATTTAAATATCTTATGAATATTCTCAGAAATTGAAAGAGTGATACAGAAAGATAGAATGAGATAGAAAGTGAGCCTGAGTGAACGAGAGAGAGAAAGAAAGAGAGAGGGAAGGGAAAATAGTGTGAGGAACTCTAAGGAATTAGAGTAGAAAGGAAAGAGGGTTGGTTGGTTCTTAGAATCTTCCGGATTTTCGCGAAAATGAAATCAGCCGTCTTGATATCGCCACGAATTAAAGTTTTGCGTCTCCGCTAACGGTTGTTTCACTTTGAAACGTGCGTATAATTTCTGTTATCTTTTCTACTCTTACCAACCGTACACTACCACCACCACCACCACCACCACCACCACTACCACCACCACAACCACCATCACACCTTTCCCACCCTTTCCTCCTTCCTTCCTTCCTTTTTACCGCGAAATATAAAATAATAAAGGCACCGACGAACGAGCCTCCTGGGAACTTTGGCTATTTTCTCGAAACGCTTCCAAACTAACGCGTCTCGAACTTTTAACGATTCGCCCTCTTTTCTCTTACTCTTAACGTTCTTCCCTTACCCTACTCCTTTTCTACCTCTCCCTTTTCCCTCCTTTTCTTTTGCTTTTTCTTTTTGAAGTGAAAACTTCTTTAGAATGGGTGTGATTTGAAAAAATGAAACGCGGTGATGTAGTGGGAAAACGAAACCGGGATGTAGTGGGGGAAAGAAACGGCCTAAATACTACGTAAGAAGAGAAAAAGAGACGAACATATCATTATTTATAAAAATATTTGATTTTAAAAATTTTTTTAAAGTGTTTTATTATTTACTTTCTTTGTAATTATTATAAAAATGTGCGCCTGTATGAATGCAACCCCCCAGACACACTATGAAAATGTTGCTTGCGAGCGCCATCTGTCGGGACGGGAATTTTTTTCTGCCCGAAAGATAGGCAAGCCGTCATATATATGTGTATAAACAGTTTTGACTTAAAAAAAATTCCGTCCTAGTAGATGGCGGTTGCAAGCAACATTTTCAAAGTGTGTCTGGAGGGTTGCATACGAACAGGCGCGCATTTTTATAATAAAAATAATTGAATAAATAATTACAAATCAAAAGTACAAATAATATTATAATAATATTATATAATAAATAATATATCCTGGAAACTCGTTTATTTGAAGGTTTCACTTCTAATTTGTGTGATATGCACACATGTTTTTTTTTTGTTCATTCGCAGACTTTTCTTCCAATTTTGATTATATTTTTTATCATATCGTTTATCGATATATTGTTTCTATTATTTTATCATATTTTTTTTTTTATTTCTTTCTTGTTGTTATGTTTTTTTTTCTTTTTATTTCGAAAGCAAGTACTTTTCAAATTTTTTCTACTATCCTCTATCGATATTGGTTTTTTTACCATTTTATCGTTTATTTCTTTTTTGTTTTTTTTTTTTTATTTTCCACCTTTTTCTTTTTATTTTATTTGCATTTTTATTTTCATTTTTTTTCTTCTTTTTCTTTTTCAAACGTTCTGTAAAAGCAGAAAATTTCAGTGGTCGTATACAAGAGAATTTTTTTCTCTTTCTCTTTTTTCTCTTTCTCTTCTCTCTTTCTCATTCTTTTTTCTTCTCTTTTTTTGTTTCTACACGGTAATTAGTACTTACTCGCATAATTACACGTTCGTTCTCGCGTATGCCGTATTTATTTTAGTTTAACAACGGTCTAACCATTAGAGTACTAATCCTCTTAATGTCTTCCCAGTCAGTGTGCCGTGTGCGTGCGTTTGTTATTTTTTCTCACACTCTTCTCAATTTGCACTGAGAATTTCATTTCCGTGATTAATTCGTTTGGCAAGAAAACTTCTATTACAATACTTGCATTCCCAGCTTGTTACTGAGAGCAAATATATATATATATATACAATATAACAAGAGAAAGAGAAAGAGAAAGAGAGAAACAGAATGAGATATTTCAAAATACACGTTTAATCTAATACACTTTTTTTTTCCTTATTTTTATATTTTGTTTTATTTTTTTAATTCCTAATACCATTGATATCGCGTATGATATCGAACGTGTTCACTTGAAACTTTATATTCGATAAAATTTTATTTGTTATTTTTTTTTTTAACAAATAAAATAATAATTTAATTCAAAC